TTGACAAACAGAGTCAGTGGCGGCGCAGAGGATAGCCACAGAATCAGCTACGTGCATGTGCTGTTTTTGCCTGCTTGGCTCGATCGTACTCATTATCCTCCAGAGTGAAGCGAGAGGCGGCTGGATATTATAAAGCGGCCGTTTCTGAGCGTTACAAAAGCCCGTACAGAGGTCAGGCTCTGCTAGGTGATACTGGGCTCACACGCGGGCAGCACACAGATCAGAGGGAGCCAGCTTCTTAAAATGTGAGTCATGCTGCTGTTGCATTTTCATGAGCCGTGTTGCAATCCCCAGGACCGGCCCGCCAGCCTCACAGAGTCAGCCAGCACCACCAAGCACATCACGTTTCGTCTGGACTGCAGAGATGTTCTTTTATTCTCGGTTAGAAATGACGACTTTAAAGCTGGCGTCCTCAGGACGAGCAGAATCATTTGTGCTATTGCCGTACGCACAGCGACTCACGTTTGCATCGTGTGGCAAAACCAGAATCAGCTGCAGTCATTGTGTCGGAGCTGTGCGCTGTACGAGCCAGTGACAAGTTAACGCTGGAGAGTGTGTTTGTGTGTTTGCAAGCGATTGTGTTATTTAACACCAGATATTGCTCATATATAGCACCCTGTGGGACAGTGTTTGAGCCGAAGGTTAGCACTGTGTGGCAGCCAAACGAGCGTTATCAGTCTCATTCTGTTGCTCTTCGAGGAAGCGAGGTGAATGACGACCTCTAACTACGATCTAAGCATCCTGTCCAAGCCACAAAAGGCTTTCGTAAATCCAGAATGAACTTGTCTGTAAGTCGGAGCTCAGCGTTTCAGGACCTGTGATTAGGGCTCTTATTGTACCTCCAAACCACATTCATGTTTTTCTTTTGCAGGTGTTGTGCTCGACATTCAGCGGAATTACGACGTGTCAGACAGCAGAATCGGCTTGCTGCAAACAGGTAAGCATCCTTTAATCTCATAATTACACGCGTGAAAAGAGTTCTCTCTCTCTGCGGCGACTGTGATTACTGTGTAACTCTGATCTTATTTAAAACGAATGGTCCAACCAAAGGCAGAGGCTCTTACTCCAATCTGTCACTCGAGCTCAGCCTCTGACAGCGGCAGTGTCAGCCTCCCTTTTCTCTTCTCACACATGAGTAGCAAACCGGATTATTGACAGCACATTTACAGAAGGTAAAGCTGCGTATTATGGAGGTAATTTACATAATCAACCCACTAATGGTTTTGTTCCTCTGCGTCTCTGTGCATCATCTGTGTGGGCAAGACAATCCAAGGAAATAGAATATCAGTAGGGCACACCTCCTGGAGTTTGTGATGGTTCAAAGTTACTGAAGCTGTTTACATTTTTCCACAGCAGCACTGTATGACAAGCTGTGGCAGCAGCAAAGCAGCAGGCCAATAAAAAAGGGAATACAGTCAGGAGCCAGGCAGGCTTCTCCCCTGAGAGCACCCACAGAGTGTGACTCCTGCTCAGGGCAGGGCTTCCTGCTCCACACAGAGACTCACTGAATTCACCTTTTACAGAGAGATACTTTGCAAAGCCCTCTTATTGGAGGACAGGACCCCGTCTTGTCTCTGTGTGCTCTCAGACCCATTCAGACACCAACAGACTAACAAAGTGCCTTTGAGCTCAAGCAGACAGGACTGAGTGTGAGGGGCGGTAGAAAACAGCCCAGTGTTTTTAGGCTCGCGGTACGTGAAGGACAAAAATATCTCGAAGGAAAAAGAAATCTGTGTGACTCTTTTAGAGCTTTTTTAAGCTCAGCACATCACTTTACGATCTCATTTCAACCCAAACTGAGCCTTGTTTTTATTTTCTGTCAGCAAGTTTCTCCACATTATGTATTTGATCGTTTGTGTCTCGATGTTTATTGTTTGGGTATTTTTCTCTACATATTTATTACTGTCAGAATCAGGAAGCCTTAGAAACATACGAGGGGAAGAACGGGACATTTTTTCATCAGCAGGATTTGAAAAACTGCATGTTTGTATGAACGCTTAACAAGAAACAGGAAACTGTGAAGGGCTTTGACTCTTAACTCTGCTTGTATTGGCTCACTGTGTGGATTATGCACACAGCCACACTGGCACAAACTCACACACACTTAAATAAACAGAGTATGCAAGTCTTCTAGTCGCATGCACAACTGATTTGCCCACTGCACCGTCTTCAGTCTTTGAGAGGAACCCAGTCGGGTGCACGGCGAGGCTTCTGCGTGTTTGCTTTGTACGGTCGATCATGGTTCTGACTCCGCTCGGCCCTTGATCCCCAAGGAACCTGTTTCTGACACGGACCTGGGGAATGGCGGGTGTCTGCGTGCAGACAAGGAGCCTAGGTGTGAAGAAGAGGCTTGGAGGATACGACATAATCGGGATGCTAGAAGGGAGGATCTTTACCTCAGCAGATACACATCACTAGCTCCATCCGTCTGCAGTGGGGTTGCATTTTGACATCACAGGTTCATGACATCCATCTTCCACACAACCTCATGGAGTCAGTGGTTTAAGATCCCCGGTTACTTTTCAGACATGAAGGTGACTTTACTATACAAATAAAGTTTTTCTGATTATCGTGTTCAGATGGAAAGGAGAGCACGTCTGAAACGAGTGTCAGTGTGCCTGTGTGTGTTTTATGGTTTGTCCCTTCCAGCGTCCCCCACCACCAGCCTCCTCCAGAGGGAACAGTTCCCACCTCTGTGAGCACCTGCAGGCCTGCTCTGTCCTCTCTCCTTCCTGCAGGCTTCGGTGCACCTGGGAATGCAAACTGCCAGTGTAGGTGTTTTATAGGAAGTGGGTGTATGCTCAGGCTTTCTCTCGCTCTGTGCTGCCAGGTCACCCTCAAACATTACAAAACATAACAGCGACCACACACTGCAGGGTCCAAGGCACACAATACCACTGAGTCAGAATCACTTTTTGAATTTGAGAAACGACTCTTTGTTTTGGCTCTTAATAAGAACTACTGGAAGGAAAAATTCCCCATATCCAGACGGTTTTTTGCTTTTTCACTAGGCTGAGCACTAGAGGAGGCTTTTAAACCTGCTGCTGTGTTTCATGGTGTTACAACAACTTAACTCTTACCCCGCCCTACCCTCTACTACACGGGTGTCCAACTGCAGGCCTCGAGGGCCGGTGTCCTGCAGGTTTTAGACGTGTCCTTGATCCAACACAGCTGATTTAAATGGCTAAACGACCTCCTCAACGTGTCCTGAAGTTCTCCAGAGGCTGGTAATGAACCAATCATTTGATTCAGGTGTGCTGACCCAGGGTGAGATCTAAAACCTGCAGGGCACCGGCCCTCGAGGCCTGCAGTTCGACACCCCTGCTCTACTAGGACTAACCCACGAAGCCCTTTTGTGAACCGAGTGCTTTCGGTCCGGTTATTTTGTTCTGCTTATAGAACAAAATAACTGGTTGTGGATCAGAGGTTAAATGAGGAGGGTCTCCACTGGAAGAGCCTGGAAGCCATTGTAACGGTCGTCTACCTGCATCTTTATTGACATGTGCTCACGATGAAGCCTGCAGGGGAGGTCGTCTGTATCCTTTGGCAACATTAGTGCTTTCAAAATAACATAAGGTGACACGAGGTATGTGCTCATTTCTGTCATGCACGTGAGTGTGCACGCAAGCCTGAGGAGCTGAAGTCTCGGCTCGCGTCGTAACAGGATGAAGTGTCTGTCATGCTAGCGTAAAGGCATGCCGTTTGAGCCTGAAGCTCCTCCCCCGTCCATCAGCGTGATGAGATGTTCTCTCCTGAACACAGCGGGCCTGTCAGGGCGCAGGGACGTGGATGTGACAGGCCCTCGAGCAGCGAGTGACCCTCACACACATCTGTGAACAGGACCCTTCCCAAGGGTGTGGAGGGACGGGAGGTTAATGGAAGAGTGTAAGGGGAGCGGGGGTTCACCTGGATGGTATTACCTTTGGTGAGGGGGAGTTTCAAACGCTTTTGTTAACTGCAGTGAGAAAGAAGAGCGCTCTTCCCTCTCGCTAACATGCCGTGCTTATTGTGTTCAGTGCTTTGAGGCCATTCAGAAAAAACAGACTTAATGGGTTGAATTTTGTCTCATAATGGATCCTGGCATCATAATCATCTTTAGTAGAACCAGAGATATTGGGGTCAGTCAGGCTGTGTGCACGCTGGGGGCGGCGGCTTAATAAGGAGCCGGCACTCAAAACAGCTCACAGACGGTCTGTGGCCTGTGTGTGGCTGCCCACCCCATCTGAAACACAACACCAGCACACACACAGTCCTGCAGTCTTTACATGGTGTCAGCCTGCCTGCAGAGAGTTGTTAGGAATGAGGCCACAGGTGCTGTGTGGGACTAATGGCCTGAGCTCCTCTATCACACATCAGGCACATACGACACACAATTACACAAAGAAAAGTTTAATCACATCAATAGTAACCGCTATGCTGAAAACAGCGACACAGTTTTTGTGTTTATACGCTGCTGTCTCCAATCCTTGGTCGGACCTGAGCTGCGGTCGAGTGTGTAAGTTGATTGCCAATGTCAATCAGAAATGTGTGAGCGCAGAGTTCCCTTCATGTGCTGGAAAGCGGAGCTATCACTGCTTGATCAGCTGTTTTGGGCAGTGTCAGCTGCTTCTATTTTGTCTTTTGCCCTCGTTGGTATCCCCTGGTACCTCCTCGCTCACTCTCAGCACTTTGACAGCTGTTGTTGTCTTGTTGTTGGTCCCACTGGCACCTTATAGGAGTTAGGAGACATAAAGGGAAGGAGGGAGTAGAGAGAGCCGCTCTCCTCCCTTTAAGTAGCACAGTTTCATCTTCTCCGCTATTGATTCCCAAAGCCAATAACGGCACTGCATTGGTGCTCAGCAGCCCTCTGCTGCTATGATGAGAATAGAACTACGACCTGATGATGTGTGCGTGTGTGTGTGTGTGTGTGCGTGTGCGTGTGTGTGCGTGTGTGTGCGTGTGTGTGCGTGCGTGTGCGTGCGCGCGTGTGTGTGCGTGTGTGTGTGCGTGCGTGTGCGTGCGCGCGTGTGTGTGTGTGTGTGTGTGTGTGTCTTCATCTCGGGCTGTTTTTATAGGCCATGTCTCAGAGGAGGGCAGCTGCTGGGTGATGATTGGCACCCTGTTCCCGATCTCCTTCCCTTACACTTCCTGTCTTCCTGTGGCTGAACCAATAGCGCTGCTGAGTGACTGCAAATCCAATCAGGATTTCAGGGGGTCTAAACAACCTCTTTTCATGTAAATGTCTAATGGCCCCTTTGTGTCAAGCACGGCTCACGCTGCGCCCTCAGAGAGAGCGTGGTGAGAAAGCTGCACGCACCTTTTTAAAAGAATAATCCGAGGACTGATTGGGCCTTTATGGCAACGAGATTCCGGCTGATATCCTTTCTTTCCTGCTTCTCTGAAAATGAAGACAAGATTGCTGCACCTTCACATCCAAGCGACATAAACAGATCAATTAAGACACACATGCACACTCCCCACACCGCAGCCTCTGAAGGTCAGAGCTGGGGCTGCTGCATGCTCCTTTCATCTGCTTTCATTTATTTAATGCAGACTATGTGTAATTTATTATATTTGATATTCCATTAATCCCAAACCAACAGCGACATGCTTGAAACAAACGTAAACACTTGTCATTAAATTAGCTGCTCTCACAGTTGCTGCAGGAAAGACAAACTGCAGCGTTGAGCTGCTGGATGTCAGCTCGGTGCCAACACCTTGTTTCCCTTAATGCTGCAGCCTGGGCACAAGTCTGCAGCATCACAGCAAGCACATCTGGATACTTTTTTTTCTATCCTAAAAAATTTCAAGAAGCACCTTCCTGTATTCTCACCATATGTGTTTGCTTCTGATATACGCAGTAATGTGTAAAAGATGATGTTCCACTGCACTCGGGCCAGCCAGCCAGGCCGGTATTTGTAGCTGTGTGATTCTTACCAGCTGCAGCTCGCACACTGAGCAGGTAGAAGAAAGACTTGATGCAGCAGCAGTGAAAACCTACCAGCCCTTAGCTGCAGTTAAAAGACTGAAAGAGTTTTTGGTTGGTGTTACAGCACAGCTGCACTTGATGGCAGCTTCTGTGGGTACAGTATGAGCTGCTCAGATTGACAGGAACATTTCCCAGGCTTCATGTGGTATTTATCAGAGAGCTCTGGTAATCTGAGCCGAGGGATTTCTTGGAGAATTAGCGGCGATCAGAAATGTAAGGCATGCAGAAATGTTGGGGCTCCACATGAAGGAGGATCCAGCAGGCAGCAAAATGATGTTTGCGAGTGTCTGAGTTTCAGTCACACACGTTGGTGTCCTACTAAGTGATGTGTCACACCCTCCACAGGCAGGTCCATTAATCATTAGGGGAAGAACAACAAAGCTGCCACTCCTGCACACCTGATAGAAACACAGCACTGTGACGCCACAGTGTAATAAACACCAACGTGACTGAAGCTTAGTTTACACCACATTCCTATCTGTTCAATAAATACATGCTCATAAGTTTTGGTCAGCATGATTCACCAGCAAAGCTGTGATGTCATTTTAATCTCAGTGTTACTGTAATTGTTACATTTGTACTATTTTCCAGATGTAACAACACTGAAAGTCTTTCTTCCTGGACACGATGAATGTTCTTTCCTCAGAAATGCCCCGTCACACATAACTGACCTTCAGCTACGTGTCTGTACGTCACTGTGTGATTGTACAAAACCTTTCTAAGCACAGTTTGAAATCAGGTGCTTTTATTGTGAAAGATTGACGGTGTTAAGAACAAGTTAAAGCAGAATGTGGTTTCGCTGCAGATGTAGTTGGTCGTGTTGTCAGATATTCAGTCGCCTCAAGGTGCTTTATACTGTAAGGTAGACCCAACAATAACACATACAGACAAAAACCCAACAATCATACGAGCCCCTGTGAGCAGAGGAAAAACTCCTTTTAACAGGAAGAAACCTCCGGCCCATCCAGGCTCATCTTGGGGTGAAAGCTGTGCGTCCGACTGCATCTGGTGCCAGTTACAGAGCAGTGGGCGTCCAGTATTGTGGACGGACTCGTTTATTTAGCCTCTATCTGTGGCGTGTCTGTGAATGTGTCAGTGATTGTAGAGGAAAACCTCGACAGGAACTAGATTCCCATTTATGAGAAAGGTTAGATGTGTTTGGAGTGCCTGACATTTTCTGTGTGTGATGACATCTGTGGTATGCAGGGTTGGGTTACCTGTTTCCACATCAATACCAGTGCCTTCAACACAGTGTTTGAACTGGTAGGTCTCAGGGTAAGGATCATCGTGGCATTATTTAAATCATTTTTTTGTCATCAGTGAGGTGAGTCATGGCGTGGTGATGCACAGCGAGGGCATCCTGTAAGTATTAATAGAAGGACTGTTGTCCTGTATTAGCTCCAGGGTGACATTTCTGACATTCCTCAGGATTAAAAGAAATGATGATTTAATCCAACGTGATAATAGAGATAGTATGGTCTCATGCAAGAGCGAGAAGCTATTTTTAACAGCAGACGTTACTCGTGCATCGTTTGCTCTTCATACAAATACCTCCGGTTGCAGCAAGTGTTGTAATAATGAAAAGGGCAGCGGCACAAAGGTGGAGGAGAGTCAACACAAACTGAAGAGGGGAGATGTATTTATGGAAGCTGCACTGAGCGCTGACACCTACACACACACACCTCCACAGTGAACAGGTCACAGTGACACATGGCAGTTTTAAATGTGGCTGAATGACAACACCTAGCCTGAAGACATGTACAGACCTGCAGGTGTGCTTCTCCGGTTCCTCTAATTCCGTCTCTGGCAGCTGACAGACATTCAGATTCCTGAAACTGGTGTGCCTCAATTAGTTAGAGCGTCCTTACTGTCAGCTTCCACGGCTGCAGGGCTGACGCCTGGGAAACAGCTCATAAGCCCTAAAAGAGTAGATACGTTTTAGAGTTATTGATCTGGCAGCGCGGTGGTTAGCACTGTCGCCTCGCAGCAAGACGGGTTCAATCCCACCATCAGGCCGGGGTCTTTCTGTGTGGAGTGTTCTCCCCGTGTTTGTGTGGGTTCTCTCCGGGCACTCCGGCTTCCTCCCACAGTCATGACATGCAGTTAGTGGGGATAGGTTAAGTGGAAATTGCCCGTGAGTGTGAATCTATGTGTTAGTCCTGCGACAGGCTGGCGACCTGTTCGGGGTGTACGCCGCCTCTCGCCCTAAGACAGCTGGGATAGGCTCCAGCGCCCCGCGACCCTGAAAAGGATACGTGGACGAGACTGGAGGATACGATCTGGACTTAAGAGAGTTGCCAACAAAACAATGTAACAACTTTTAGTAATGTGACGTCTTATTGGTTTCTTTTTGTTCGGGTAAAGAGCCCAAATGTGACACCTTTCCCTGTGAAGCTTCTACTTGAGGTGCATTTTTAAAGAGTTTCACATTGAGGCTCAGCAGAACAAAGAAACTCCGGGCCCTTTGATATCTGTATTTAAAAAAAGATTTTTATTTCCAAGCAAGAGCAATTCAATCCATGACAAATCCCATTTACTTGAAAAGTCAAATCTCGGCGCTAAAGGCTTACAGGGCGAGCTTGAAACGAGGAACGCTGTCTGCGTACATCTGCGTTAAACCCCCCAGTTTTTATCTTTTTGGCCCCTTCAGCTCCTTTAACTCCACTTTTTCCAGTGAAAGCTGCTGTCAATCACCCTCAGAATTAAAAAAAGCTAATCATCTCTTTGCAGTGGGAGACGCACCTTCAGTGGGTTTTTGTGGAAAAGGATCAAACAGGCTGCTGAGCATTTTGTGTCCCGCAGCCGGATGCGCAGCCTCACAGGTGCTCTCTTCAGGGGAATCTAGTGTTTCACAGGGAAGCGTTTCAGCTCAGTGAATATCAATCACAGACACACACTCCACATATGTGTGTCTGCGTCTCCCCCGATGCAGTATTCACAGTGGCATTGAATCGTAGGGAGTGAGTCATCCCTGGAGGTATTGTTCTGTTGGCCAATCAAAGCGATGGATGGATGTCCGGTGTTTAGAGTCTCCCTCTGTGCGGCATGCGAAGCAGGAAAATGTGTGTTGCAGGAGGTCGTGGTGCAGCTTGCTCAATTGTTTTCAGTTTCTGTTACTCTCAGCTTGACAGTAAATTTCCATTCCTGTCCTCTGAAACCCAGAAAACTCAAGACGGCTTCACACGAGTACGTTTCTACAAAGACTGGCTCCAAATCACCAGGAAACCTACTCTATAATATCCTGATGATGATGTAAGCAGAGCTTTTCCAGTTTACAGTGAAACAGTTTTAAATATGATGACATGAATGAGTCTTTGTGACGATGTTAGACTGAAACGCAGACTCGAGTGTGGCTGCTATTGTGTCTACTTTTAGACTTCTCACTCAGCCATTGTCTTCTCAAAGTGAAAGACGATGGTAACTTCCTCGCTTGAGCGACTGTGAGAAATACGCACGGCGTGTTATTTGAAGAACATCAGAGGAGGATTGGCACTCCTGTGTGATGCACGGGGCAAACTGAAGTCAGGGCTCGGTTTGCTTGGTTTGTTGTTTTGTTGCTCGTCTGCAGAAACGTTCCTCTCATTAGAGAAAAAGTATCCGGTTACATCTTTTCTTTTTTATATAAAAGTGAATGATAATGGAAAATAATAATTAATATATGGACTTCAGAGAGGTTTTAAACAGTTCTCAGCACGGTCCCTGCAGACCAGGCCGCACTGCTTCACACTGCTTGGTGAGGCTGCTATGAATCCTCACCATCACACACATTTATTCACAGCCCTCGCTGTTAATTCACTGTGTTGTAGTTTTCTAAACTCAGGTCGCCAGCCTGGCGTTTACAATGACTCGCAGCCGAAGAAGAAATAAAGTGTTTATTAGGATAATAGTGGGGAAATGTCCCGTAAGCCTAATGACAGAGGCACAGCTGATCCTATAGGACTTGTTTACGTTGTTTTGCAGTGTTCGGTTCACAGATAGATGTAATGTCTTCACTGTCAATGATCACAATTACGCCCCAGCAGACATCACTGTAATTATCACCATCAATATGTCCAACAAGTGCAGTAAACAGTGCTGCGAGTGCTGCCGGGTTGTACTGCTTATACGCGACATGTCTCTGTAGGCAGAGCTGCCCTGTGAGCGCGGTCCGCTGCAGTGGAAGCATCTATGGTGTGTCGGAGTCTTAGGCTTTCCTGCTGTGAGTTTGTCTTGTATTTGGAGGTGGTTATGGAGATCGCACAAACATGTGGAGCTGCGATGTTACACTACTTTAAATCAAAGCGCGTCCAGCTCAGGAATGCTGGGCTTGTCAGGAGTGGGCAGCGAGGTTTATATGCTTCATATTCAAGAGTTTACTTTATGTCAATCAGGCTTTTCCTGTTATCATGCCCGACGGGGCCATTTAAGGTGCTTGACCACAAAATGAGATATAAGATATGAATAATTGCATTTTTCCTATTAAGGTTACATCTCTGCGTGTTTGCCTGAAGAGCTGCAGAGTTCTGGGAGGGACGTTGTTGTCTGTGGAGACTTATTGTTAGTGTTGGTTTGTCCGTCCTACAAGCTCTTGAAATAGACTGAAAGCATTTGTTTTCTTGTCACTTCTTACTAATCAAGCCAAACACATCTGAGATTTAGTGCTTCAAACACGTATAGATAACAATAATGTCATTGTGATACCACAGTAAATGTCTGAGCATTTAACCGCGCTCTGTGCGACGCGTCATATTTAGGCCTGTTTGGGAGCGCCTGCAGCACGACTGTCGTACTCTTTTATAGACAATCTTTGTAGTGATAAGGAATTTCCTGCAGCACCAAAGGTTGCACATGATATCAGTGTGAACCTGGTCTTAGGGGTCAGCATGTGTTCTTATGCCAGCCTGTAACTACTGTGTAACACTGACAAGAAAAGACTGTCGTGATCCTTATCAGGAGACATCTGTCATTGTAAACAAAGCTACATTATTAATATGTGAGTCTCTTTGAAGATCTGATGGATAAATAAGGTCAAAGAGAACAAGAACAAGATCTCCAGATCTGAATCTTCAGCAGGGTTATCAGTGCTGACTCTGACTTCACTGAATTTAATAAGAGAACATGCAGAAAGCGGCTGAGTGTACCTTTGTTTTTCTTACAATAAACAACCTGACAACATCCCCTACGCCTCGTGTCAAGAAACAAAGTAATCCATTTGTAGCTGAAGTGTAACTGTTATTTATCATCTTATTATTTTCTTTCAGAGTTCAAACGGGTTCAGGAGAAAGCGCGTTCCTGGCAGGCGCGGCGTACTCGCTCGGTTGGGCGCAGCCCTTCACGTCTCAAAACTAAAAACAGTATTTCACATATTTGTTCTGTTTTTGCCAAGTTTGGCACCGAGGCTGTTTTTTCTCCACAGCATCTTCTTCATTTTAACACCAAAGCTGACGTTACATCAAAGACTTTTGCACCAGCACAAAGGATTTATGTGTCTCACTCTAAAAGCAAAAAGGCTGCGAGCAAACTGTTATTACCCGACTTAACTCACATGTGCTGGTACTGCTAAAAGGTGAAAATGAGCCGAGGAAAATAGCACAGCTTATCAGCAAATTACATAAAATAAGATCTGCGGAGAGAGAGAGGCTGTGCGGTCCGGTTGATGACCTGAACTAAGTCAGCTGAAGATGTGAGGATGTGTTTGTAACAGCAAGAGTAATGATCTCTGTCCCCACGAGGAGCAGCTGCTGCTGGTTGATTATGGACCTACTCCCAACTTATCTCCAGCATGCACAGCAGAACCTGTGTGTGTGTGTGTGTGTGTGTGTGTGTGTGTGTGTGTGTGCATGTGTTGGTGTGTGTGGGTGTGTGTGTGCATATGCGTGTGTGTGTGTGTGTTTTGTGTGAGGGTGTGTGTGTGTGTTTTGTGTGTGCGTTTGTGTGTGTGTGTGTGTGTGTGTGCAGGGTGAGCTGGCAGAGCTCTTTTAGAGACCTGGACCTGCAGGGAGGAGTCATCAGAGTCATTCAGCATGACACAGCAGGCCTGTGGTCGGTGATGGAGGCGACAGAGAGGGAAAGAAACCCGGGCAAGAAGAGGGAGAGTAGCGACGCTGAGAGGTGGAGATGTGAGGCACTCGTTAGGAACACGCCCAGCTCCAGTAAAAACGTCGTTAATATTAGTGGAAATTAAATTAGAATTAGACTTTAGATCATTTCCCTGTCTCAGGTTAGATTGTTCTTCCCCAAAAATAACAGCAGAGTCGCACCGGATCTCCGACGAATGTTCACATGTAGATTTTCTATAAAGTGATGACGCACTTTTCATTTACATAACACGCGTGTTAAGCTGTAACACCAATAACACTGCTCTTACTTTTAATCCCAAAAATTCATATTTCACATATGAACTTCATATATTCATATGTTTTCAGTCAGATGTGGTGAACCTATCAGGATGCAGCTTCGCTACCTGCCCAGTTGTTGCATGTACATACCTGCAGCATCATTATGTAAAACCACAGCTTTTGCCTCAAAATAGGGTTTTTATCCTTTTGCTTTTTTTCTCCCGTTTATCAGACTACGATATCACATGTCCAAAACTACAGTTATGCTTTAATCTGATTACTGTCCCTCATCCCGCTGGCTGGCCTCAGCAGCTGTGGGACAGCGATGCCTGTATCTTATATAACACCCCCCTCCTCGCTTTCCTCTCTCAGCTCCTCTGAACGTTTATGCTGATGATGTGTCAAAACACTCCCGCCTGCCTCCCCATCTCCTCCCACTGCTGTCAAGAGTAACATCGCTGCCCTTTCTCCTTCGCAAAGACACCAAACTCGGTTTGAAAGCTTTAAAAATTCAGCTGTGTTTGGGTTCGCCCGCCTCATAAATACTGACGAAGAGCCTGCAAGGGCTGAGCGGTCGTGCAGTCAGCAGTGGGGCAATTAGGGAAGCACATTTTGGAGCACAAAGTTTCCTTGTAAGAAATTAAGATGGAGGAATTATTTATGGCTGCACAACCACCGAGCTTCTCAAGGGTCAGATATTGCTGTGAATTGTCCTACATCTGGTTAGTTCCCACTGTCATTCTTTCTTTTCTCCACAGCCTTTTTAATCGGTCTGAGCTCGTAACATTTGCCACATGTCATCCTCATTTTCTCTCTTTCAGGGCTACGTTATTTGACTACATCACAAACTGCGTTTCTCCGACCTGCTACGTTAGCTTAATGCAAGTTATCTCTGACATTTACCCACGTGTTATCGTATCTATGTGATATTCTCGTGAGGTGACGTGTAACAGAGGCGTGTCTCTGGCTGACTTCTATCAGACACTTGATCTGGACGGGTCTCGACTTAATCAGAGCTGAAGCAGTGTGATATAAAGCAGCAGTCCGCTCATGCAGTAAATGTGTATCGAAGTCAGTGACCGTCATTTTCTGTTTCTCTTCTCTTTCCGCAGTTTTCATCTGTAGCTTCATGGTGGCAGCTCCCATCTTTGGTTACCTGGGCGACCGCTTCAACAGAAAGGTCATCCTGAGCTGTGGCATTCTCTTCTGGTCCATTGTTACCCTGTTGAGCTCCTTCATCAGTAAAGAGGTACGGCTCTGAGAAACCACACAGCGCTCGCACCACTGCAGCTCCACTGTCAGTGTGTTGGCTCCCCTCATAGACAAGGTTATTATTCTGTAATGATCTGGATATGCTCGAAGTTAAGGCAAGCAAAATGTAATGACATGCTTATTAAGTCAGATACCCGCTCTGCCTTTGTAGACATGCTCTGCCTGCGCCCTCTCTCTGGCTAGCAGCCAGCTAATGAAGGCCTCGCACTTGTCTCGGTTACAATGGTTTGGAAGATAAAACTCATTTCGCTGATCTTTTACAAGCAGATTTAGACTGTGTGTCTCTAAGAACCTCTGTGTGCGAGGAGATGCCGGGTGCTTTAAACGGCCACATCATTCATTCGTGGAGGCCATAAAATGGGGGAAGGGGCGTCCCGCTGAGAGTCGACATCATATTAGAGTAAAAGGCTCGGCTCACGGACGTCTGCGTGGGGGCGTCGACGGGCTCGTGGTGCCTTCTTGACACGACGGTTGTAATGAAAATCTGACAAAGTGACTGAAATATGTGCCTTCAAAGCTGTGTTAGTCAAATTTATGGAGCATGCAGAGCATCATCACGCTGCAGTGTCTCCAGCAAGTAAACCGCAAGCAGAGCGACAGCTCGGCTCAGGTCCTCTGTCCTCGACTCGACTGCTGCGCCTAAGCAGCAAATACATCGAGGCCACTTATAGATAAGTTGAAGTTAAGGAGCTCTGACGAATCCCACAAAGGCCGCTGATGGCTCACGTCCTTTGTCTCCAACTGTGACTCCACCCTTAAGACATGTTCCTGAGCGTGCCGATCAAATGAGACATGATGGCTGTTATATAATAGCTGTGGCACTGTCACCAGGAGAGATGAAAGACACGACACGCAATGAAATGCTAACGAGCGCTTACAACAGACTCCTGTCGTGATGCATTTGAGGCGCTCTGGGGCGTTTGGAAGGACTCGCAGGAGATGCAGGATGCAGATCTTACATAAGAGAAGTTCACCACAAAGTGAAACTTCATACTTTTTCCTCATGACCACAAGATTATGTCATAAAGTGATCACTTGTGCTTCTTTATTTTAACATGTTGAAGCATATTACTATACGCCAGAAAGACAGCACATTGTGCTGCAGCTTGTCTGCCTCTGGTAGGTTTTATATGTTATATTTCCAGGACTGTCCCTGTTTATACCTTAGTTTAGTAGAAAGCATCGCTCAGCTCACTCAGTGTCATCTCGTATGTGTCGAGAGTGTGAGACGAGGACATCGAGATCTTTTGTTGGACGAACTCCACAGGTTGATGATCCTTTTTTTGTTTATAGTTTTATGACGGTATCATCTTTATAATGGTGTTGTTGCGTGACTGCCCTTCAGTGAATAGCCAGTCTGCATGACTCAGACACAAGCAGGTAAAAGTCCACTTGGAGTTTACTCCAAACAGGAAAACTTTCAAATCAAGCAGAAAGAGAAAAGAAAGGTGGCGGCAAGTTCCAGGTTAGCAGGGGTTAAAAAACAAGAACATCTATGAATAACTGGAAAGCTCTGGCAACAGCACAAAGACAATCAGGCCAGGAATGGTCTTTGTTCCCACAGTACATGTCATGAGGGCACTCACAAAGGGAGTGAAGTGCAGATGAGCAGAGGGAAAAATCATGTGATGCGACTGGCGGGAAAGCAGGAAAGGTGGGAGTGGCTTAGTCAGAAATGACAGAAGAGTTAGAAGCAAGGACGCACACAGAATACAGCACTAATGAATAAAATTCAATTCAATTTTATTTATATAGCGCCAAATCACAACATAAGTCGCCTCAAGGCGCTTCATAGATACAGAGAAAAACCCAACAATCATATGACCCCCTATGAGCAGCACTTTGGCGACAGTGGGAAGGAAAAACTCCCTTTTAACAGGAAGAAACCTCCAGCAGAACCAGGCTCAGGGAGGGGCGGGGCCATCTGCTGCGACCGGTTGGGGTGAGAGAAGGAAGACAGGATAAAGACATGCTGTGGAAGAGAGACAGAGGTTAATAACAGATATGATTCAGTGCAGAGAGGTCTGTTAACACATAAAACACACTGTACACCGTCTGTCAGCAGGCACGGCACCGTTAATGATAACTAATGACTAAATGCACCTGTAGGCCACCTGATCCAGCTCTAACTATAAGCTTTACCAAAAAGGAAAGTTTTTAATCTTAAAAGCAGAGCAGGTGTCTGTCTCCCAGTCCAAACTGGTAGTCCTGGTTCCACAGACCTCCCATTCTACCTTTAATATAACCAAAGAAGCGAGTAGACGTGGACGTAAATGATAAAAGTTTCCTTCAAAGTACCTCTTTGGACTTGATAAAGTGTCAGGACCAGTGACAAGTGCCTGAACTGGTGTCCTGTAGATAAATATCAGACTTTGCTTTAATAAAGTAACAACACACAGTTTCTCAAACGTACTAGTTGAAAACAGCTGATTGTGAGCTCATCATATGTCAGTGAACATGGGAAACTAACCCCGCCATGTCAGCATGCTGATATTTGTCTTTAACTCATTCAAAAGTCGGGGAAAGGTTTCGATCATCTCAAACTTCTCTTTCGTGTCTTTGTAGTCTTCGGACGTTTTCCAAACCACATTTTTGTGGTGCTTCTTTGGCAGCGTTGCTTCTTTGTCATTGCTAGTAGAGTTTCTGTTCCAGTGACCACAAACACAGGAAGAGTGCCTGTCATCATCCCACCAAACGGCCATTAAAGGAAAAAAATAGTCTGTCTGTAAATCATTTCAAACAATGTGACAAACATAACTATATACACAGCAGTAAACACTTGCATGGGCTCATAGTCTCAAGCAATATAATAATGCAAAACTATGTGCTGAAAAAACAGTAAACACATCTTTGGCGTCTTCACTGGTATAAACAGCTCCTAATTACGTCTTTATGAAGGACACTGCTTATCGGGCTGTAACAGCCCAGAGCCGCGTTACGAGTGGAAATAAAAAGATCTTAAAAAGGCTTTGCATATAAGAGCAGCTGACTGGATTGGAAGTCTTTACTGTAAATGTCTCGTTGTGGCCAGATCACAGGTCAGATTACTGACCCGTGTTTGTCATTTGTCTCCTGTGTGGGGATCCCGATTTCTTTGCAGCTTTACAAGCAAGCCGGTCGTCCAGATGTAGTGAGTAGTGGTTGCCGTGGAAGCAGTTAGCGATCAGCTGCCTGCACAGGTGCCTCAATGAGAAAGATGCTCCTATTAAGGCCTTTTAAGTTTGTCCCTTCATCCCTTCATACCGCGCAGATTAAACACATAAAATCTTACTGCTGTTATATTTCCATTAACTGATAATAAAATACATAACATTCAAAGTCAATAACTAATCTGTGCTGAGCACCAGTACAGCAGCATGATGGGCATAGATGCAGACTATGCTAACATATGCAGAAAGAAGAATTATAAAAGACTTTTATTCTGAAAATCCATGTTTTTTGGTGCTCATACAAGAGCTCATGAAGCCACTGAATATTTTGCGACAATGATAATATACTTAACTGATGGACTACACCTATAAAGACCGACTACATGGTGTTTAATTGTATTTTATATTTACCTGGTGTAAAGTAGGAACTCAATAATGGTTAAACAGAATTACCATGTTTGATGCTCTGATGTCTCGGAGGATGACCCATTGATCCTCCACTGTATGTTCACAAGCTCAGTGATGCTGAATCAGCACTGATGTAAATACTAAGTGATTAAATGTTGTGATTGTAACACAAGGATACGCAGATTAGCTTCTTCCTCCTCTCCACAGTACTTCTGGCTGTTTGTGCTCTCCAGAGGACTCGTGGGCATCGGAGAATCCAGCTACTCCTCCATCTCTCCCACCATCATAGGAGACCTCTTTACTAGTAACACCCGCACCATGATGCTCTCTGTCTTCTACCTGGCCATCCCCCTGGGAAGGTAAGATGCAGACAGGGCCTGGGTTGTTGAAGCTGATGAGCTATTTTGGGAGCTGAATGTTCATGAAACGACACCTCAGTGATGACCATGAACGTTTTCATCCTTTCATCACACCTAGCCCGTCCTTCAGATGTTAAATCCAAAGGAACTACAGAGCTGTCATATAGATAATTGAACTTTTCCTCACATTGGGAAGGTCACGCTTATGTTTGTTTTTTTAAATTGAACCTTTGCAGAAAAATACTTTCAGTTGGCTCTGTGAAGCTTAAAGCAGGGTTGGAGCTGTGACATGGAGATTTGTGAGTAGGAGGTATTATTAAGCTTGAGTCTCTAGGCTCTGCAATTCATTTAAGCAGATAAAGAAGCTCAGGGAGAAAACAAACAGAGCCAAGAAATAAAAGACCAATGTACCTGCGATGCTCACTTTAGAGACGTCCCATTCGCCTGAGCTGTCGCAGGCTGTGCTGTTTTCCATCGTTTGCATGCTGGAAGCGGTGCGTAGTCTGCAACACTCTAAACATGAGCGTTATTTGACATTTCTGTCATTATATCCGGTTTTATAATAGCAGGCTGGAGACAGACGAGCAAAGGGAAGCCTAATCTGCCCTTTGAGTGCTTGTGTTATGACTCGCCAGAGTTGTTTGGGTCACGGTAAACTGCCCAGCAACACTGACAATGGGAGGTGAAAGAGGGAGCCTCGGCGTGGCGCGTCAAACATCCTATCCACTCTCCCACTTGTTTGTCTTTACTGACGCTGCGGTGACCATTTTCAGGAAATGACCCCAGGAATTAGACTGGATTTATAGGAAACGGCTTCCCCTGCCCTTCATCCTTTGTTTGTTTGTTTTTTCAAACCTTTTTGAAACCGGCCCCACAGATATGTTTCTGGGTCTCGCTGCCGTTTGAGTCGGTCTGTTTTTCATGCTCAGGTTTTATTGTTGTGTCGAACTTTCCAAACGCTCTCTGATAAGATTAGCTGTTAGTCACTCACTGGAAATATCATATGCTGTCTGAGCACGTTTATGCTGCTCTGTTATTTTTGGAAGACTAGCCGACGACGGCAGACTGTTTCCACCTTCACTGTGCGTGTGTATAAAACCAGCTAAACATGTTTTGTCTCTTTTAGCAGCAAGTGCTGATAACAAAGTTGTTGCGCTCAATTGATCATCTCGCTAGTGTTGCAATTTATTATTCTGATGGGAAACAGCATGTGGGGAGAGACTCTGCACATGCAGATAACTCAGAAATCACAAAGGCTGACTGGCTTTCTTCACTTTTCCAGTCAAGAGTTTAAACAAACTGTGAGTAGAAGCCGCGCAAAGTGTTGGACGCCAGGCTCGGGGCCAATGTGTCACTGCTATCTGGGGCAGAGTGTCTGTCTGTGGAAGCCATGAGCTCCGTCAAGCTGTGATCGTGTTTAGTGTCAGGCAAGACTTAAAGGCCTTTACGCACCAGACGCGTTTATATTGTGTGTTAACATGTTTTCAGATTTAACGCCGTCATTTTCCAGATTGTTTCGATTTGGAGGATTTTTTGCATGATCTGACCAATCAGACCGCTGCATTTGGAAACAAGTGCAATCATAGCGTTTGAATATGCAGCGATATGAAAGTGTAAAGGTAATCAGATTCCTCTGCGCCCTCACACGTGACTCCATCTCTGCCAGTAAGAGCTCAAACTGCCCCGCTGACGTCGGTACCAAAGTGATGGTGGATCAAGGAGAACCTTTTCTTCTTTACAAACATCACTATCACTTGATGTCGAGTCCACTTTTGTTGTGTCTATAGGTTAAATGACAAATTTGCATCTGAGAGATTCAGAATGTTGTGTACAAAGTTTACAGTTAGCCACCGTTTAGTTAGTTCGCCCATTTTAACTCCATTTTTCCAGGTAACGTTCCCGTGATGCAGCGTCATAAACGTGTGACAAACAAAGAAAACTTAATTTAGAGACGTGTCTCAGTGATGATCGTCAGCGACGTTTTCCATCCAAGCCACTTTACAATCTTCAGTTTTAGTGGCAGAGATCAGTGTAGGTCAAAAGTGCTCAAAGCCTCTGAAAGTTAACGATTCATGTTATTGTCACACTCGTCGGGTTTTCTGTTGACATTTGATGAGTATGGTCATGCTGGATAAACTGGCATCAGGGGTGTAAAGCAGCGTCTTTTCTGACAGTTTCATCATTACTGGCAGTTATGTCATCGCCTAGAAGCTCAGCAGCTTTGTATTTACTAATCCCCAGGTGCCCAGTTATCAATCCGAATCCTTTTTGTCCTTGAAACGCTGATGCCACGCCGATCTCACCCGATCTGATCCAGCGACAGTTCCCTCAAAAGTTTCACTGCAGCGTTCATTCGTTAAGCACAAAACACCATTTTTTTACCAAAAGCAGTGAAATTACTGTGAGAGTAAAGCCCGCGGCCAGAAGACAACACTGGCTCTGTGTCCTCACATTAGTTACTTTACACCTGCGTTTAGTGGCTGCTCGCACAAATCACCCACGCAGAGACCAAACAGATTCCGGTGCTTTGATCAGTAACACGTCATTAGTTCCCAAACACTCAGCAGCTATAATCAGACTACAAACAGGATGTGTAGTACTGCGGGCTTCAGTGATGGAAATGACAGACTCAGCTGACGCATGTCACTGAGTCACAACTGACTGACCACTTAACTAATTACACATAATTCCAGTGATTGTTTGTCGAAGCAGCCACTGATCAGGGGAAGAAGAGCGAGCCGAACAGGTACCATCGGCGGGGCATTTGAGCATTTCAGCAACTGCTTATATAGATAGATAGATAGATAGATAGATAGATAGATAGATAGATAGATCTCTTTCACACAAAGTCTGAATAAGGAACAACAACAGGTCTGTGGGCACAAATGCACTGATGAGGGCAGAGACCGTGGCAGAATGGCCACAAGCTGAGAGAAGAGCAACATTACCTCAGATGAATGAAGCAGCTCAGGACCTGTTCTGTTTAGTAACACAGCAATAGGCTCAATTTACTCAGAAACACTAGAAAAACCCGGCCTGTGTATTGAAGTGTTGCAGATTCAGTGTCTCACCTACACACTGCAGGATCATTTTAAGAACGATTGCTCGATGAGATCGTTGTACCCAAACAACCTTTGCAGACGTGCACATCACATCATGAGTGTGCTGCAGGGGAAATGACGCCATTATGCTGTTATGTGAAGATGGACCCAAATGTTTCTGTGATTCGGTAAACTTGAGCAGAGCAGGCTGACAGTAAAATGCTGTATATGTTGTGTTTTGATGCATAACCTGTTTGTCCCTCTGCAGCGGGCTGGGCTACATCCTGGGCTCCAGCGCCAAGGAGGCTGCAGGAGACTGGCACTGGGCACTCAGGGTAAGAGCGTCAGCATCATGTGGGGTGGTGGGAGGGGGCACTGGCTCAGACGTTTGGGGAACAGAGGCTCAAATCCTCCTTAGCTCAGCCTTCAGCTTCCTGCAGAAGCCTTTCTAAAAACATCTCCTTCCATTACGCTTTCACACCAAAAAAACATTTGCTGCGTAGGTTCTGATCGGCTTCAGCAGCAGCAGGAACGTGGATTTCTAATAAACACGCTGCAGTCGCTGTAAACATTTAACTAACATTTTGCTCATGGAGGCCATTTCTGCTGAACGAGGATAAATGGCAGCTCTGGGAGGTCTTTGTCACTACAGGAGATTAAGGAAATACAACATTTGGTTTGGCCATTGTGTCACTGTTGCACGTCTCGGGTGCATCTGCAGGTACGAGCTGTGTTGTGTCAAACAAATGTCTCCTGACGTCACACCGTAAAGCAAAGCGACAGAGATGATGTCAGAGCCCGATTCAGCAGCTGATGCAAAGATGCTGTTTATAGAGAGCAAGAATCACCCGCAGGAAATGAGCTGCAACAGGCGCCGCAGCTATTAAACGTCTTTGTAGGGCAGCGATGGAGCAATGAGACGGGCATGGCGCTACAGCTGTGACTAAGTACTGTTGGGCAAATACCCTAAAGGTGCTCTGACGAATTAACCTGGATCTCGTTTGATAAAAGGCTTATTTCTGCTCCCGAGAGAAATCTATCTGCAGAAACCTGCTGATGGGATATTGAAAAAACTCATTAATAGACTGCAGCAGGAGAAAGGTGCTCTATTAGGAGCATAAATCACTGTTGCCAAAGCTGAGACCAAATGTTTGGAGGTGAACCTCAATGAAGCCGCCCGGCCTCAAAGGAGGGGACCAGCGAGAACCCCAGCAGGGCTCCTCCACTTCAGGCCCATCCTTGGAACGAAGTATGACCTCACCCTTCTTATGAAGTGACTGGAACACATGAAACTTTCTCGCCATGGAAGAGATTCCTGGACGCGGACAGCTCGCTTGGCAGGAAGTTCATTTCTTCCTCGCCGTGGTGGAGCTTTAAAATAAAAACAAAGAGCAGGCTGGCTTGTTCCAAAGCAGCCACAATGACATTCCAATAAAACAATCTCAAAGCCAATTAATCACCGGTGTGGCATGCAGGGAAAACAAATAACAAGACATAAAACGGGTTCTTTGCAGCGGTATCCTGCTTGAAGGGAAAAACACTGCAGCGCTTCCGTTTGTTTTTGCCCAGCGTGTTCCAGCTAGCTTCCTGAAAATATGGATGAGATGAAGCAACAAAGGAGGTCCAAAGAAGGAGTAGCAGGAGAGGGCAGTAGCTCATTTATTTGATAGCCCACCACCCATACAGGAAGCGTCTAATGGGCCCTGTGGGAGTCGAGGTTAAAGGTCACAGCCCCTTTGAGTTTTAGAATAATTCTGAAGGAACATAAGTGCCAAAAAACCTGATATTTGTTTCCCCTTCAGTGAGACCAGCTCCAGCTTCCATTAGGCCGCCTCGCTCTGAGAGCACATTATAAGATTTCGATGTAGACGGCGGCGCACGGCGGCGTAATCCTCACACTTCTGAGAGCGCAGCCACATTATTAACTGCATTATGAGCCACGGCAGACACAGAATTATTCCCCCAGTGAAAAACTCCAAAGGACACACACAGACGCACACAGACACACACAGACACACACAGACACACACAGACACACACAGACGCACACAGACACACACGTTTCACAGCAGCGCAGTACTTATGCATATAAATGGGCTTTTATGAGCATCAAAATATAACGGGATGAATTTCCCCTGACATACGAAATTGGTTTTGCTTTTGTGAGCAATTTGTATTACTCAAACGAACCCCCTCGAACGCAGCCCATCCTGCCTTTTGTCTTCGTCTCCGCCACAAAGTCGCACGCAGGTACAAACACGCTGCCACGCAGCCCATGAAAGATGATGGTGACTATAGCAGCAGATGGGCACTTTATGAGGTTTTCAACTCGGTGAAACTTCACAAAGCAAAAACAAAAAAAGCTTTTTTAGGCTCTTTTGTGCTTGTACCCACAGCCAGGCCCACACCCACACATGCACACCCACCCACACATGCACACACATGCACACACACACACATGCACACACATGCACACACATGCACACACACACAGTGAATGTCAGGCGTAACGCAGACGCCGTCCATTCAGACTGGAAACAGCGTTCTTTGTCTCCTGTTTTAACTCTTCTATTGCTGTATGTTAGCATGATGTGTCTGAACTCTGATGCTGATTGATTCTCGTCCCTTTAGGTTTCCCCAGTTTTAGGCATCACTGCAAGCGTTCTCATCCTGCTCCTTGTCCCTGACCCAAAGAGAGGGAGCGCCGATCAGCTGGGAGGTCGCATCAGGAGCCGCACCTCCTGGTTGTGTGACATGAAAGCGCTCGCCAAGAAGTAAGGCTCACTTTCAGACAGCAGATTTTGGGAAATCGTTTATGAGTTCAGTGTTCAGGGGGATTCATGGATAGATTTAGAGTTTTGGATACAAGTCGAGCTGCAAGGTCCCAACAGTCCTAAATGATCTCATCCTAGATCATCTGCCCCTCCGATCATCCTCCGTCTAAAGCTGTCGTCTCAGTTTCCCTACATGTCCACCCTGTCTTTGCTTCCCTCTGGTTTGCTCACAGCTGATATTAAATAAGGAAAATAGCAGAATTGTCTGTTTTTAGCTTTCTAAGTGTGAGAACATGCTTCTTTACATTCAACTACATCCTTCATCAGTACGTTTACATTGTTGGATGGACAAACAAAAGCATTACACACGTCTTCATTACGTAACCATGGCTGAAATGGAAATGCCAACAGGAGCATTCACTGTCCTCCTGCCCTTCTGCTGAACAGCACATGGAGATATCATCTGAATTTCAGGAGCGGACCACTCCTCCGCCACGCCCCCTCCGGCCTCAGGCTGTAGAAGCCCCCCCTTCACCAATACCTGCTGTTCTCATTTTCATGCCCCCCCGTTTTCTCTCTCTCCTCTCCTCTCCTCTCCTCTCTTCCTTTCCTTCATTCACTTCTCGTTAGTACATAGGATCTGTCCGGCCCGGGAGGCGTCACCAGTCCCCTTCGAGGCCTTCCCCAAACCGCAGCACCAGTTCGTACTCCCTCATCGCCCATCGTTACAAAGGATGTGGTCCCAGCCGGTGAAACACTGTAGCTTTGTTGTGTTGGACCCGTGGGCTGGGTTTCTTTATAGAGATGTTGGACATTTTTAGCCGTGCGGATTTATTCTTCACTTCGGTGGCTTTGAGCTGCAGCACCTGCTGTTTCAGCTGCTTTAACTCTGTGCAACCATCAGATTGCAGTTCTGGTCAGATAAGAAAGAGTCAGCGAGATGTTTGACATGATGTGATTATCCTCACGATCTTTCTGTGTCTTTGTTGCCAGTCGGAGCTACGTGTTCTCCTCCTTGGCTTCGGCAGCGGTCTCCTTTGCCACGGGTGCGTTTGGTATATGGATTCCTGGCTACCTGTTTAGAGCCCGGGTGGTGCAGAAGACGGCAGAGGCTTGCACAAAAGAGATTTGCAGTAGCACGGACAGGTGAGAGGCTCATGACTCGACGGAGGGGTGGATTTCTGTTTCCTTGTGAAAGGGCAGGACTCCAGCACCGTTTAAGGATCAGAGATAGAAAGTAAAACTATTTGAGTTTCCTCCAAAGGATGCATGAGGAGGAGCGTGTGACACCCCACTGTGAGCAGCTGATTGTAGCTTTTTTTACAGTGCGCCATTCTTCTGTGACCTTGATCGCAGTGTTTGTAAAACCTGCTCGTCTAAATCTGCGTTATTTCCCACAGCATGGTGTTCGGGGCCATCACATGTGTGACGGGGCTGTTAGGCGTGGTCATCGGGGCTCTCACCACACGCCTGTGTCGCCAGAAGACAGAACGAGCCGACCCTCTGGTGTGCGCCGTCAGCATGCTGGGCTCGGCCATCTTCATCTGCCTCATCTTCGTGGTGGCCAAGAAGAGCATCATTGGAGCTTACGTAAGGCTCGTTCCCTGGAGCTGTCGCACAGACGGCGTTGTGCCTGCAGTGGATCAAGTTTAAGTAAAGAGCTGTGCCAGGTTTGGGGATGTTGGAAAAGCATTCTTCATTTTCAAGGATGAGGCGATATTAGCGTGTCAGTTATGATTCGTTCTAGAAGCTGACAGTCAAATGAGACAGAGGAGCTGTCGGGTGGGAGCAGAGCAGTGAATGGGTGTAGCTGATCATACTGATCGTAATAACAGGTGAGCCTGATCGGGCCTCCACACTCACTAATCGTAGGCAAACAGCATGGAGCCAGTGGACATAATTACCTCGTGCAGCAGGAAAGGCTGTTTTTGAAACAATGTCGGACTTATCAAGCACAGATTTCTCGCTCTTATCAGTGACAAAGGAATAGGAAGGGACTCTCAACAAGTTGGCCTGCAGTGGCAGAAACGTGGCAGTCCCATGCGTGTAAGGAAACTTAACAAACAGGCTTCCATATCCTAAAAAATGTGACCTCGGCTTTCCCTGGAAAGTCCGGCTCCGTATTGGATTTTACAACTGTGAGCATTTTTTTAAACCGAGTGACGATTCGAGTGACACGTTTGATCCTGGTATGAGGAACAAATCCCTCTGAGCTGCTGTCAGGAAGAAGAAATCAAACATGCAGAGCTCCCACTGTCCACGAGCAAACAACCAAAAGCTGATTTATTTAAGCAGCAATATGTTAAGTGTAATTTATATGAATTAAGTGAGTAGCCCACAGGTAGCACACCAAACAAAGTAGGTCCCAGGTGACAGATGATTACTGATGCGAATAATGATTTCGATGTAATGAAGTAAGATGTATTTGAACTTCTTCCAGGTCAAAGGCGCACATTTATCAGGTGTCAGGCAGCAGCATGACTCAGCCAATTAGAGCCGAGGAGCAGAAGTTTCCATATTAATTACACCATTACAGATCTGTCCAACTCAATTTTATACAGTTGCTCTATTACAGAAACAGGCTTTAGCTTTGCTAATGACTGAAGTGACGCCTGGTATCGCTCCGAGTGTCAGTGGCAGATGGTAACAGTGCAGGTTGAACGCTGTCTCGGGTCCAAAGACAGAGGTTTGGGTTTACCAGGCAGCAACAGTAGCAGTCCTCACTACGAGGTCATAATTTCAAACACATGATGTCACTGCTTTTAGCCAGCTTCAGTCTACTGTACAGTATTAAATCATCTTACAGTACAGCAGCGCGTGTAAGTGATCGGCTCAAGTTTCATGGCAAAGCGCTGACAGATGTGTCACATTATAAGGCGTGACACGACTGCGGCGGGCGGCGCTGCTCTGTCGAGGCCGTCTGACCTCTCGCAGCTGTTGTCTCGTCAGCGCACGGCCGTGCGTCTCTCTTCTAAGAGGCGACGTGTCGTCACGGTGTCCGGTTGGCAGCTTTCAGAGCGGACCTGTCTGCTGTGACCTCTCTGTACTGTAGGTCTGAAACAGCAGCACAAGTTTTATTCCCCGGCAGGAAACGCATCAGCCGGCTGTGAGGAGCCGTGTTGGACCCTCGGTGCTGTTCACCAGCAGCCCGTGTGTTCCTGTCTTACTTCAAGTTTTCTCCTCCACCTGTATAGTTGTGGTTTTCCACACTGAGCTTCAGCAACAATCCTTATCATCCGGTGCTGCTCTTCAGCTCGTGGGCTACACGCTCGGCGTTTTTAAACCACCACAGCAAAGCATTTCTCTGAGTGTTCCCACACAGAGTTAACGATCTCTTTCTTTCTTTAGGTTTGTATCTTTATTGGAGAGACGCTGCTTTTCCTCAACTGGGCCATAACAGCAGACATCTTAATGGTAAGTATTGAGAAACCAGTACTTCTCCTCTGGGTCACTGGAAGTTCCAGCGACAAACTTTACCAATGGGGTCGTCAGATTAGATGCAGGTTTGGAAATGTGCGAGCGGCCGACAGTTCGGGCGGGGCTGATAATTGCTGCCTCGACTGAGGCTGAGTCATTCCCGCTGGTGAAAACAAACACGGGAGGTTTTTCTCTGATGTGTGTTTTAGTGTCTAAAAGTTCAAATCAGCCAAATGAAATTGGATTTCCGCTGAGCTGGGTGAACGAAGCAGCGCCTGGGTTTGTGTTTGTGGTGACTGTGTGGAGACGCACCACTGTGGACAACCCAGGTGTGCCTGGGCTGGGTTTCCCAGTTACTTTGTGCAATCTGCTGCATTTTTCAGCCTTTGTTTCTTTATGTGTTTTTGCAGTTTGTTGTTATACCCACGCGGAGAGCAACAGCTGTCGCGTTCCAGAGCTTCACCTCTCATCTCCTGGGCGATGCAGGAAGTCCGTACCTGATAGGCCTGGTAAGACTCTCCCAACACAACACTGTGTGATGATCCGGGTGTGAAGAGGGAATGTGTTTAAGGTTTAACCAGTGTTGTGAGTCTAGACAGTACTGCTGCAACACAAACGATGTTCAGCTCTCGCTTTAAGTAGGACGGTGCAAAGTGGAGCTTTTAGCTCACGTCTCAGGAGAGCTGTGAACAGAGCTGTGATTTCACCGCTGCTCTTCAGGCTGTCAGTGGCTTTCTCTAGTAAACCTCGTGGCTCCCAGAAGGGGCCTCTGTTACTGTATTCAACTGGTCAGGAGACGAAAATGGCTCTTACCGCCACGCTGGGCCCCTCGAGGTCACAAGCAGACCCCTGCCCCACATCCCACCCTTCAAACTGCAAGTATACAACCAAAGAACAGCATTTAGGGGCCCGAGTGGAAGTGCTGCTTGCTATTCAGTCAAGTGTGAAACAGGATTCACCTCAGACTGTCGAGTGAAATTCTTCACGTTTCAGCCTGAGATTAAACGATGTTAAATAGTAACTCACAGAGGCACACGGTGTGCGCTCGTGTTCAGCGTACACGAAGCGTGAACAACAGTGATGGCCGTAGAGCGTGTCACAATCTATGCACACGCTTGACTTTATCATAACCGCCTTTGTGTTGTATTGTTGTGCCCTGGCTCACAGCCTGGCTTAGCTACATTAACCAAAGCAGTGGAAGTGTTTGATTAGAGAATCAAACTGGCCCGACAGCCTCACGCAGACGCAGGTGTCTGCAGAGCTGCAGGGAGAAGACCGCAGTGCTTTCTTCCCTAAATGAAAATGTTGAAATAGTGTCTAAGCCCGTGTAACAAAAGAAGCAGAAGATGATTTACAACGACTGATCAAAGCCAGCCTTTAAAAAAATACACATTCTGTGGTGATGCAGGTTCAGGGGCTGGCACTGCATTGTGCCTGCACATTCAATAGATCAATTATATTGTACAGATTTGCCACAGAGAGATTTTGCTTTGATAACCGTATGACTCATTCTCAGTCACCTTGATTCTACTCATTTGAAGGCTCCATCGGTGCTCCAATAGTCTAACCACAGAAACAGTTCAGATCAGTCGCAACAGGAAAAATGCAACGTGTTGCCGACAGGGAGGATTTGTCTCTGCTTGAAATCATTGTGCTTTATATTGGATAAATAAAACAGGTGGAGTCTCACTGGTATAATAAAACTTCTCCGTTTTTTTTCCTGAATTTTACCAAGTAAAACAGAAAATTAACCAGCAGATTAAATATTAATTGAAATAACAGATTAGTTAGACAGGACCATAGCAGCGCGGCTTTGTTGTCTACTTAAACATGCAGACATGAAACAGGTGAGAAACAGCATGAGAAGAGGAGCTGGGGTGGAGGCGGGTTGCAAAGCTGCTTGCAGCCGCACAGACGGTGAGATTAAAACAGCAGGAAGGAATTTCCGTTTATGAGCAGACAACTGGATATCTGACAGAATATCAGCTGAGCTGTCATGTGATGTGTGCTGGCATTGAGGTCATCAACCTTATATGCCTTTTATATAGTCCGATATAAGATTATTACTTAGCAGTCATTGCCCATGTCCCAAATGTCGGTAAACACACACAGCTCAGTATTGAAGGCACTAAAGCCTGCATCCAGGCTTCAGGGGTCACAGTTCACCTCTGGGTGACACAGCCAACCGCCGGCGGTTTCTCAGACCTCCACAAACCCAGGACCGCAGCATAGACTGCTCCGAGTGCGTCAGCGCTGTTGTTGTGCAGTGGTTAGACACACGAGTGCCATGGCCCTGTCGCAGCACAGGCTGAGTGCAGGCAGATACGCAGTCGCCCGTGCACAGTCACAAATACTGTGAATGAGCAAAGTGGAGAGTCACAAGAAAAACAGACTAGTGGTTATTGCTTAGCAACCACAGGAGAAAGTGAGCAAGTGAGTCGTCTCGGTTCACAATTAGGTTTTGACGTGTGACGCGGAGATCATGCACAACAAACCACTGCGGCATTTCCAGTACGCCTGCTGCACATGGCAGCGCCCGCAGATATCGGTGCCCGCATGCCGCACAGATACCACTTCCTGTCGTGTAAAAAAGCAAAGATTCCTCTCTATCAGCGCGTACACCAAAACGAATCCCCCGAGAAGGACATGATGGACTCCACCTATACTGTAAAGTAGGACACAGCCAGAGGCAGAGTGGGTGGCAGCGGGATGCCGGTGACAACAATCTCTCAGCAATCTTCCAAGAAATGCTTCCTGGTAATTAGACATGCGGCTGTTCTCCACGTATTTTTAGTCAAGCTGCACTCTGCAAGTTGCAGACAATTGACTGTACACCTCTGCACACACACGCGTGCACGCACGCGCGCACACACACGCACACACACACACACACGGCTGCTGGGCCTATAAGAGATTTGGTCATTTTCTGTAATGGCTCCTTATTAAGCATGCACGTGGCTGCACATAGGAGCACATACTGCACGCGTGCAGTCCTCCTGTCAGCATTTCTCAAGCTCTCCCTGCAGAAGACCTGGCTTTTGCTGACATAACAAGAAATGCCTGTCCTTTAGTGACCTATTGTTGCCCACGGATTCGACAGCCCACAGTCTGCTGAAAGCTAGCAGCAGCAGCCTCCTCTCCGTCACGACTGTCAGAGCAGCGATCTCTGGGAGGCAGAGATGGTCACTTCACTCCCACCGCTCTCCAGCTGTTGTTTTTCTCGACACTGCGCACGACAGACTGAATCCTGGTGTTGCTGAAGATGAAGATGAGCTATTAGCTGTGAAATCCTGCCTATTTTAGGACAAAAACAAGGCGTCTTACATCATGTGTCGGTTTTGCAGTGATGAAATGTGCAGGACTCACGCTGAGCAGTGAGCAGCTTGTAGTGTGTCAGAGCATTAGGAGATATATAAAGATAAGGTTTTGAATGAGTACAATCTTTCCTTTTGTTGTGTTTGTGGTCATGTGTCATTGTGTATGTGCGTCTGGCCTGATTGCAGATCTCGGACGCCCTTCAGCAGAAGTACACTACATCAGCACTGTGGCGGTTCCTGAGTTTGGGCTATGCCCTCATGCTTTGTCCCTTCATCATCGTCCTGGGGGGCATGTTTTTCCTGGCCACCGCGCTCTATTTCCTGGATGACAAAGATAAAGCCGAGGCCCAGTAAGTGACTCGGACTGTTTTTGAATAACTCATCATTATTTCATGTATTATTGAGTCATTCATTCTTCATGTAAGACCTCCACAAGTTCAAAACAAATCATCTTAGTTGCGAGAAGTTGAGGAGGTGTCAGCAATCCTTGTATTATTTATTGTCAGCAGAGTGCAGAAACATTGGGTTGAGATTTTTTATTTACGCTCGAGTTTGAGGCAAGCCAGGGACACGGCGCCCGAGCGATGCCAAGAGTGGTGCCAACCCGGAGGACCCAGAAAGGCCCCGAGCCAGCAGAAAGTCCCAGTCAGCTGAAAATGCTCCGGAGCTGTTGTAGCCATCAATTTGTTCTCACTAAGACTTTTACCAGCCTATCCTGCTCATACGTTCATATTTTCCCTCCTTCAAACACACGAGCAGGTCATAGCCTTAAAAGGCAAAAACACACTCGTCCTTCTTCGGCCTTCTTATTTCCTCCTGACTACTTTTTTTCTGTTTTTTTTTATCACGTCGGCTTACTCCCCTGGTGCCAGCGTTCTAAGAAATGACTTCCTTCCTGCTGAAGATGACGGGCGTTTTTAGACAGGATGGCAGTCTGAAGTCTGAAGTCTGTCTTCGCCCGATCGACTTAGTCACGCGTTGTTTCCCAGTGTTTTCCAAACCCCGTTCGAGCTTTTTTTGTCCAGCTTGGTCAAAATAATCACCAGAGGAGCGTTTTAGTGTCGTTGCCATATTTGTAGTCCAAGCTGCCGTTCACGCTGTCGATGTTTCCTCTGTGAAATGTTAATATACGGTTTTAAAGAGCTCTTTTTAAAGACATACATGACTGCTGTGGCTACAAAGCCACGCTGCGCTTCTGGTGGGTTTACTCGAAGAAGAAAAAGAGTCACACACTTGCCATTGTGCCAGTAATAGATACGAGGCTGTGGCCAAACATGCAACCACATTATTGCAGATTGCATAGCAGATGGCAAATGTTCACTCAAACTATGTCCAACCACAAGCCCTTAACTTTCACGTGACACTGTTTAGGTCTAATGCTGCAGCATGTGCAGAGCTACACACTACACAGACTGCAGGCGTGTCCTCATACAAATACTTCACATGGTGTATGGAAGTTAGCATTAAGGTCACTTGGACTCAACGCCAGTACAGCTTTAAGTCTCCCTGCATAAAAGACTAAAAGAAAAAATGCTTAATCAGTATGTAATAAATCCTTATGCTGCGGTAATACGTGTGAGTATACAGACGTTACACAGACACTGTGGTAGGAAGAACACCATCCACACCCACAGCCTGCTCCTGTGGAAAGCTGAAGCATAAATAAATGACTGTGAATCCAACAGCAAACGCAGCGTTCATACCTGCGCGCTACACAGCAGATTTGTGCGAAATATCCCATCAGACTGAAACAGCAGCAGCTCTTATGTAACAAACAGCGAACGGCACCTCGGGGACCGAGAAAGCTCACAACACGCACAACTTTGTCGAACGAGGGTTGTTCCACGACTCGGCTATTTATAGATCCCATTCACACTATAAAGCCCCAATTTATACACAGCGCTCTGCACCCCCGTCCTCCTGCTCTGAGTGTGTCCTCAGACACTCTGAGCTATTTATAAAAAGCTGAACAAGTAACTCGGGAGAGTGCCGCTGTCTAATTTCTGCCTTAAACATTGCTTCATTATTTCTAGGTTGGTAGCTTTTGGCTGCAGGGTTGCCATTAATAGCTCCAGTTCATTGCACACACACACACCCTTCTCGCACACATTTATCCAGTCCACATCTACACTCGCTGATGTGTGACAGCAGATCTGTCTCAGCCGCCATGACTGTGAGCTTTGATCGAGCGTGGGTTCCAGCAGGCAGGCGGTACACTGCAGCTCGGTGAGAACAGGATGTGGACATGATGGAAGTTAGGATGAAAACGTGAAGAAAAACTGAGGATTCATAAACATACAGTGAATTGTGTGTTTGTTTGTTTTTTAGCGAGATGCTAAAATGATTCTTCTTTCTTCAGGTGTAACCAGGCAACACAGCCCCCTTCAGTCAAGGTATGACCAGGTAAATTGCCTTTTATCCTAAAGACACTTTCAGCAGTAGTAGTAGTGACAGTCTCAGCTCACTGACTTTTACAGAGCTCCCGTCTCAGTACCTGGCAGCGCTTTTCATTGGGAGACACCTAAAAATAAGGATGAATGACACGTTAACCTGAGGCCACGCAGAGCTTTACAGCAGTGCAGGTGATAAACACGAATCCATTTGGCGTCTACTCGGGCGTTCAGGCGTTCTTTGAATTGTGGTTATTCGACCAACTACTTGGCATCTTATCAGGACCTGAAGTGCCTTTCCTATTTCCTGCCTTTATCACTCGCTCACACATGGTGCAAACCTCCCTAATTATTAACTCAGCAGAAAAGCACACAATAACTGGCAGCAAACCAGCAGACTCTGCACAATGGGGGGGGGCACAAGAATAAACTTTGACTCCCTGATTAGGAAGACAAGAAAATCTGCCGTGACTTATTTGTAAAGGTTATCATGTACAGCTGAAAGGCCGGGCTTTTACTCTGTTCTTTGGAGCCCTGGCTGGGTTTAATTGACCTCTAAATATTTATCAAACTGGTTTATGTACACGAAACGGAAAAAACTGCCAATTGATGCTTGTAATTTTGGCTTTTTTTCACTACCCGCCATTAATAATCTGTCTGTGTGAGCCAAGGTCCCGTCTGCTGGTGTAACCAGGATAGACAAACGAGAAAACAAAGGGGCGTTGGAGTTTTGACCGGATGGACAGAGTTCAGGTCAGGAAACAGTGTGATCATGGGCCAAAGTTGCAGCTGCCTGTAGTATTTGAGAGCAACGGTTGATTAGATGGAAAATTTGTCTGAGAGTGCGACTTCACACAGACGGTAGAAAGAATGATCTGCCTGAGAAAACCTGATTATCTGTATGTAGGAAAAGTTGTCTTCTGCTCATCCTGCACATTTTACGAAATAAACATAGAAATTAAAATTCAAAGATTACAACCGACGAGACGCTACGCTGGTGGCACCGCTCAGTTCAGGTTTGCTCGTATAACACCAAGTCAGAAAAGTGTAAAAGCCTCCTTTGACGACAACAGAAACTGTGCAAACAACAGTGTAAATATTCGCCTTGAGAATAAGAATGTTTTCAACAGTTAACACTGAAAGCTGCACCACCGTACGGCATAGCATCACTCACAGCAACCAAATGTTTACTGTGATGGATTACCTATTACAGGTGAGAGCTTGGGAAGCAGATTTGCATGGAGCACTGATGGATGGGAGCCTTGAAGGCAGAAAATCAATCTCAAAATTTGCAGAATGCTTCAGAATATATTCTGCAGAAACATAGGGGCATAAAATTTGTATTTAATGGGCTGCAAAATATCGAAACACCAGTGCTGTCCTGTAGGTCCTGCAGCGTCATTCCCATTGGCAGGGTGAGATTAGCGTGCATAGCTAATGACAGGTGACACGAAAGGCTCCGCCGCCGTGCATATTGTGTTTCAGTGCTCCCGGCCTGAGGGCCTCATCACTTCTCTGTCACACGCAGCAGCCAAAGCATTTCGTTCCTGCTGTCAAACGGTGCTAATTATAGAGAACAGTGATTACAGCTGCATGAGGTCAGAGTTGAGTCTGCCTGTGACATTTCTGCAGTACAACCACATCGGTCCAAGTAATTGATTCTCAACAGATTTGATGTGCAGGGTAATCCAGTCAATGGCAGGTAGCATTTCCTCCCTCGGGTCTGATTCAAGATCAATACAGAAAACAGATTACCTGCTCAGCAATGACACGTGTTCACGCTCAGTTTGACCGCTGTGTACAGCCGTCAAATAGAAACAGGCCGTCAAACAGAAACAGGCCGTCAAACAGAAACAGGCCGTCAAACAGAAACAGGCCGTCAAATAGAAACACAGGCCGTCAAATAGAAAAACAGGCCGACAATAGAAAACAGGCCGTCAATAGAAACAGGCCGTCAAATAGAAACAGGGCAAACAGAAACAGGGCAACAAATAGAAACAGGCCAAACAGAAACAGGCCGTCAAACAGAAACAGGGCAACAAAAGAAGAAACAGGCCGTCAAATAGAAACAGGGCAACAAATAGAAACAGGCCGTCAAACAGAAACAGGGCAACAAATAGAAACAGGCCGTCAAATAGAAACAGGCACAACGAAACAGGCCGTCAAATAGAAACACAGGCCGTCAAACAGAAACAGGGCAACAAATAGAAACAGGCCGTCAAACAGAAACAGGGCAACAAATAGAAACAGGCCGTCAAATAGAAACAGGGCAACAAATAGAAACAGGCCGTCAAACAGAAACAGGGCAACAAATAGAAACAGGCCGTCAAATAGAAACAGGGCGTCAAACAGAAACAGGCGTCAAAAGAAAACAGAAACAGGCCGCAAAAAACAGGCCGACAAATAGAACAGGCCGTCAAACAGAAACAGGGCAACAAATAGAAACAGGCCGTCAAACAGAAACAGGGCAACAAATAGAAACAGGCCGCAAATAGAAACAGGCAACAAATAGAAACAGGCCGTCAAACAGAAACAGGGCACAAATAGAAACAGGCCGTCAAATAGAAACAGGCAACAAATAGAAACAGGCCGTCAAATAGAAACAGGCAAATACAGGTCAACAAATAGAAACAGGCCGACAAACAGAAACAGGCCGACAAATAGAAACAGGCCGCAACAGAACACCAAAATAAACTCAGAAAGGCTTGAAGGGTAACTAGAGATGGACCGATCCGATATTACGTATCGGTATCGGTCCGATACTGACCTAAATTACTGGATCGGATATCGGAGAAAAATAAAAAATGTAATCCGATCCATTAAATATCACGAAAGCACCTCACAAAACTTGCAACACGCCGTAACTCACCTCAGAACGTTAGCACGTCGGAGCAGTATGCATCACGTGATAGAGCGGCTGTGGCATGCGGGACCTGTCGGTGGTCTGGATAGCATTGGAGCTTCGCTAGCAACCCGGCATTTCATCTCCGACAAAGTTATCCCCGAGAGAAGTAAAGCAAGTGTGTAAGTCCATCTCTGAATGTTTGTAAAGCATTCCTGCGTTAAGCTTAACGAGCGACTGCCTCTCGCTCTCCGGCTGCTACTTCAATCATGAAACTGCTTAATGATCAGCTGATCGGCTTTTCTGTCGCGAGTCCGTTCTCTGTTTGTTTTTGGCCCACTTTGCACCAGAAAGAGGAAACCAGCGGCTGAACAACAGCAGCACGTTTAAGCTTGATCAGCTGTTGTTAGAATTTATTTAATATTACTTTCTACACCAGGATCTTTTTCTACGTAGCTGACGGCTGGTAACTGTGCAGGGGCGGATCTAGCAAAGTTTAGCCAGGGGGGCCGATAGGGCATTAACAGGGAAAAGGGGGCACAAAGACATACTTTTCTTTCTTATTCTCATTTAAAATGTCTAGCTTTTAATAAATAATTATCTGACACCCAAAGTTTTAATTTGATGTAAAATGAATAGAAGTCAATTACTGTATATAGTAGACTATTAAGTCTAATATATATACCCTAGTAAGCTATAGTACTTTTTCCTTTGGGAAGGTACCATCTGTGCAGTCTGCAATTTTGTTGAAGAAAGATGTTGAATCTATTTAATATTTCTTGAAAAATAATTGATTTCTGTGCATTTTTTTTCACACTGCATCAAATTAAGGTTGATTACGTCGATTAAGCATCATGAGGTGGAGCGTGAGGGGTGGTTCCCTATTTTTTATTTATTTATTTTTGTTGTTGCTGGGAGTTGGAACCCTATTAGTTAGGTTGCTTAATATTTATGCTAAGTACTCTTTAAAATACCAGAATAGGGAGGATGGTGTAGGTTTAAGTTTATTAGATTGATCAGTATTGCTGAACTATGAAATATTTTTTTTTGCATACAGGTATAACAGAATAGCTTTAGTGTAGTTGTTGTTTTAAACTTGAGTATGAACTTATACAAAATGCAGCAAGATATTTAAAAAACAGTTTTGTTGATTAAAAAACACTATATCGGATTCATATCGGTATCGGCAGATATCCAAATTTATGATATCGGTATCGGACAATAAAAAAGTGGTATCGTGCCTCTACAGGTAATAAGAGAAACGTGAAGGCCGAGGCGTCAATAGAAACAGGCGACCAGAAACAGGCCGTCAACAAGAAACAGGCCGATCAAATAGAAACAGGCCGATAATAGAAACAGGCGACTAATCAATAGAAACAGGCCGCAAAACAGAAACAGGGCGACAACAGAAAGGCCGACAAACAGAAACAGGGCGACAAATAGAACAGGCGAAAACAGAAGGGCGACAAAGAACAGGCGACAACAGAAACAGGCAAAACAGAAACAGGGCAACAAATAGAAACAGGGCGACAAATAGACAGGGGCAAAAGAAACAGGCGTCAATAGAAACAGGCCGTCAAATAGAAACAGGCCGTCAAATAGAAACAGGCGCATAATAGAAACAGGCCGCAAATAGAAACAGGCCGACAAATACGAAACAGGGGACAATAGAAAGGCGACAAACAGAAACAGGCGCAAAAATCAGGAACGTCAAATAGAAACAGGGACAAACGAAAGCGCAAAGAACAGGCGACAAACGAAAAGGGCGAAAACAGAAACAGGGCCGACAAAGAGAAACAGAACAAACAGAAACAGGCGTCAAATAGAAAGGCGACAACAGAAACAGGAGCAAATAGAAACAGGCCGTCAAATAGAAACAGGCACAAATAGAAACAGGCCGACAATAGAAACAGGGCCGACAAACAGAAACAGGCCGTCAAACAGAAACAGGCTGTCAAATAGAAACAGGGCGACAAATAGAAACAGGCCGTCAAATAGAAACAGGCCGTCAAACAGAAACAGGGCAGATCAAATAGAAACAGGCCGACAAACAGAAACAGGCCGACAAATAGAAACAGGCCGACAAACAGAAACAGGCCGACAAACAGAAACAGGCCAAATAGAAACAGGCCGCAAATAGAAACAGAGCAACAAATAGAAACAGGCCGTCAAATAGAAACAGGGCGACAAACAGAAACAGGCCGTCAAATAGAAACAGGCGACAAATAGAAACAGGCGTCAAATAGAAACAGGCCGAAAAGAAACAGGCCGTCAAACAGAAAACAGGCCGTCAAATAGAAACAGAGCAACAAACAGAAACAGGCCGTCAAATAGAAACAGGCCGTCAAATAGGAAATTATGAAGCGCTGGAAAAGTTTAGGGAGAATATTTTAATTTGAAAAAGTGTCTGAATCCATCAAGAAGCGGAAGCTGGTGTGAGGAGAGAAAAGACACTTCTGCTGAATAAATGAGGATGAAGGGAGGCAGTAATCGCTTAAGCTGTTATACATCGCGAGCTATTAATCTCCGGCGAAGCAATCCCAGACGGAGATGAGATACACCGAGATCCAATTAACTTCATGTGCAAGAGGAACTGGCCTCTGCTGACCAGGTTTCCTCCACCCCGCCGCACAATACCTCAAGGACGTCCCCGAGCCGGGGGCCGTCAAAAGATCGGCGTGTGATCTGACAGCGGACCTTCACGCTCATTTATTCAGTAACTGCAACTCTCCTGAAATTTTAATCATGAGGCAAAACTCTGACTTAATCACTGCTGTCCAAACTTTAACTGTTACAACTGTTTATACAGCTGCAGGCACAAACTTTCCTTCTTCCCCCTCTTATCATTCAACAAAGGCTCAGAGTCCTCAGTCAGCAGAGCTCGCTGGGGTCACCGTGCAGCAACCGCAGACTGCACACACACACACACATGCATATGCACACACACACATGCATATGCACACACACACATGCATATGCACACACACACATGCATATGCACACACGCGGGAAGTATAGAGGCAGGCTGTGGTGGGACTCGTATAGCTTTTATTGCATTGCTCCTGTTTCATGACATTGTGAATGCCGTGTCTTCTTTATTGTATCTTTGGCCTTCAGTCTGGTTTCATCGCTCCTCCATCACATCTGCAGCCGTGTCAGCCGACATGTTTTTGCTTCCAAAAACTGCTGCATGTTGGTTTGATTAGTCTTTGTTTGCTTGCCAAATCACTCAGTCCTCCACTTTGCTGCAGAAGCCAGCACAGTAATTGTTTAGCTGCGAGGAGGCAGGCCAGTCCCACAATATCAAAGCATTCACAACTCTAATTATCTCTCCATCACACTAGCGTTTGGGTATTTTAATTTCAAGTCTGTCTCATAAACAATTCAGAGTTTACAGCAACAACTGGAACTAACAGTTGAAAAATGCTTCATCCCAGAGAGGACTGGATCTGCATATGCAAACCAAAAATCCCTTAATCCTCTTGTTTATGCTAATTACCCCGGCTGCTCTCAGTGTGTGTGTCTACATGTGCACTATATACACCTGTGTGTGTTTCACTGAGAGACGCTCAGAAACTCACTCTGCTGAGCTCTCTCGCAATAATCCCATTGTAGCAGCAGCATTAGCACGTGCACTGGAGCGACCAGGACAACGTAAATGACCACAACAAGCAGCGGGACACTCTGCCATCCCTCACTCATCCAATCTGAAGGGATCACAAGTGTGGCACCGTGAAAGCTTAAAGGTCTAATCTCCAGCTGGTGTGAAGCCCCCCCTCTGGTGCCACGCCTTCTCCATTCGCTTTGTTTGTGTTTGTATCAGCAGCTAGAAGTTAGATTGGCTTGTCACACCGGCCTCTTCGTTCAATCACTTCCTCATTTAATCGCCTCGTGTTATGACCGTGTTTTACCCTCAACAAACCCCTCCCTCATTAATCTTTGCGTATGCCGATGGCATGTTTGCCATAGAAACCGAGGCACCATCAACATCGAATATACGGCTCCGTCGGGAGAAGCAGCGGCCGCGTGTTGCTGTGGCTTATAGCTTGCAGACTGGGGAGGATCTGCGTTAGACAAAGTGTAAAGCGCTGGCATATTCAGGTCATAGGCCGGTCCTGGTGTGAAGGGTCGTACCAGATGGCCCGGGAGCTTTCGACCTCAGCGTTAATTACAGGAGAATTCCCCGTGGTGCGGCCAGGCTCTAACTGCAGCTTTTTCTCTCTTCCTCTCAGGTGACGAGCAAATGAGGAGCTACCTGAATGCACAACCAAACCTGACAAAGGATGACTAGACGGCGATAAAAGAAAGGCTTCTTTATGCTCCCAGTCATCCTCCCCAAGATCATCATCCTCCTCCTCCTCCTCTTGGCTCCTGCTGCTCTCTGTTTTTTTACAGTCTCGCTGAGGTGACTGGAAAGAGGGAGCGTCTTGCCCCTCCTTCTAAACCACAGCCCGGTGAGAAGGTGCTCAACCCACCCTCCACTTGGATCGTGTCCTCCTCGCCTCTGTGAGGATCCTCTGAACTTTTGCAGGCCAAGTCCGCCGTAAGCCCTCCTGATGCTAAACTACTGAATGCTGACCACGAACCTGCCCTGTCTGTCTGCCTGTCTGTCTCTTATCGGCTGTCGATCTGCAACAAGTGCCATAGCATCATTACATTCCTTCGGATTTGCACTGACCGCCAACAGCCCTCATCACTAGCTATGTTTACATGCATTCGACTAAGCCACGCATGCTCTGCTGAAGCTAAAGCAGCTGCAGGAAAACGCAGCAGCGGTGCAGGCGTTGTTTATCTCTTTAAACAAGTGACTGATGTCGCATTACTCATCACAGTCTCGCCGCAGTAACAGCAGAAACAGCAAATTCAGTGTTTACACCATAAATCCAGTATTTTCACAGTGAAAGTTTTGCCGTGCATGTAAACAAGCTAGAGCCAAAAATGTGTTGCTTTGGGAAAGGTCAGTGAACGAGCCTTAAAGTCGGAGCTTTCACACCTGCAGATGTTTCTTTGAGCCCCGCGTGCGTTTCCACTTGGATGAGAACTCGTTATGTTCGGATTGTTTGTGTCGTTTTCTGTTTATGTCGGATTTGAAGCTGGAGGTTACTGCCTATGATTGTTTCCTAACCGTGATGATGCAGTCTGGGCAATTTAAAGTGGACACTGGATATGTATAGTTTATATAATTTATATTTATAATTTATTCTATTCATGCTTTTTCCAAAAGTCAATGTCATGCTAGTCTTTTGACTGTTTATGTACACGAGAAGCAATACTAAGAACATTTAGAAGAAACCAACCTTTTTGTTTCACACTGCCTTATCAGTGAGCTCGGCTTCCCTTTAAAGAGGTCGCTCTCTGATGGTTGGTTTTGAATTTCTGGACACACCACCCACCCACACAGGGGCCGAGTCGCTCTTAATGGTGGATCGCAGTCCAATCATCAGCGGTTACAATAACAGGCATTGTGAAAAGAGGCCCTTCCCCTCCAACTGCAGATATCCCATTGCATCAGTTTATTAGCGAGGGGAATCAAAATCCCAGACAGGAACAGGAAACGCGAGCTCGTATCGTTGCAAACTGATGAATGAGGAATCCCCCTAAAGAGCTGAAAGAGCTTCATTTCTGCCTGCCGTTTCCATGGGTACACATCTCTCACGAAGAAAACAAAACAACAATTGTCAGTGAGGGAAGCTATAGCATGTAGCTTGCACATAACACAAGCGATGGTGAAGGGTGAAAGTGATTATTGTGAAACCTCAGAGCCACTAATGGGATCCCAGGTTTTTAAGGGGGAAAGATGCACTTTGCAGACCTGGAAGGAACCACAGAAGGCAGAGGATGCACTGACCTTAGCTGAGGAACAAAAGGAGACTCCGAGGTGGTTCCTGTAGCATTGATGTGTGACTCACTGGCTGTGTGGGGGTGCTGTGTGGGCTGTGTCCTTGCTGCCAGATCATTAGCTTTAGCTTCTTCCTCCAACTGCGTGGAGCTCTCTGAATGTGATTCTGTCCCACCCGATGTGTTTACACCACCTTCATCTTCTTAACGAACTAAGCTTCTTACCTTCCATTTATTGATCTTCTTTTCCTTTGTAATGTTGTCAGAGGACTTTTTGAATACCTACAGTAGAGATATATAAAGCTATACCATGCAGCGATTTTAATATATTGTAAATGATGGCTTGGATGCAATGTATTTATTTGTTTGTTACATATTGAAGAATATTCTATAAAGGGAAATTTAAGGCTGCAGTATAATAGACTGAGCCATGTGTCACTGGGTTGGAAACCTTTTCCTGTCATACTGAAACAACACACGCCCCTTTTGCATTAGCTGGATTACGATTGGACATCTCCCACGTGTAGACACAGAAATAAATGCAATGGGTTGTTTTTAAGACACATTAGTCTCATTGTAAGGATGCAATTTATATTAAGCTCATTTATGTGTTTTTATTTGTAGATTCAAAACCATTTTTGCACATTTAATGATCAGGGATTTCTTTGAGCCACCGCCTCGCACCATCGACGGCCCGGCCTCTCGGCGCTAGCGTGTCGTCGTCTGTCATCCGTAGGAACTTCCGCTCTGATCAGACGAGCCATGGATCGAGTTTCACGTTGCCAAAATTCAGTTGATTTAGCACCAGTCCGTCCTTTTATCTGTCGTAAATGTATGTTAACAATCACTGAAGTGATGTCTCGAGGAAATGCTTCTTGTCATACAAGAGTCTGTACAAATAAACTCACGTTGAGCAGAAGAGAAAAAAACAAAAAACAGAAGTTATTTTTATTTTTAGAGGACGTCAGTACACGTGTCCGAGAAGTCAAAGGGTATTCTTTTAGAGCTGGAATGTGATGCTCCCGTGGGTGGATGATGGAAAAATGTACAGGTCTGTAAATCAAATAAACCTATTCACACACACGTCTGTGCGTCTCTGTGTGTCTGTAACGCCACGGCCATGTGTGTTCATGGCGTTTGCTTCGTCTCGCTGTGTGAATCTGAGGACAGCTCGCACTGCAGCAGCGCCTCGACTGATATTTAGAGGCTGCGCGTAAACTAGAGCAAGAATCTGTGTGTTTAAATAGTGCTTTAATGTTCGGTGCAAGGATCAGTTCTGGCTGGAGTTGCAGATATTAATCTGTAACGTAGTTTGTTTGTAACTTTAATACAAGGATTCAAATATTTTAGGATGAAAAATCTTTATTAAAAAGACAAGTGAGTGTTTAGTTATTAAGGCTTCAGTTTTGTGCTGCTTGGCAAAATGTTAATTGTGTTGGTGTCACAGAAATGGAGGAAACCCTGTGAGACTCGCTGTCAATCTGTTTAACCTGCAGAACGCGCGCCGACGTGTCTGTGTTTGCTCATCACTTGCTCATTTCCATGTGTGTCGTATTTGTGGGGAGAGGCTGCTGGAGCGCAGACACCAGACTTTAACTGCATTCTGCTGCAATAAATCAACCTGACAGACGGACCCGGGGCTTACAGTTGTACACAAACTCAATGCCAAAGAAATTGTGAGGAATGTAAATTTAAAGAAAAGTGTGGATTGATTTGAAAATCTCTCAAACCCGGATTTTATCCCCAGTAGATCCCACAAACCACGTCAAAGGTTTGAATGGAGAAAATCAACATTTTAAGAAAGTCCGGGGAGATGTTTACTGCTGCGTAGCGTCCCCTCTTCTTTTAACCACAGCCTGCAAACATCTGGGAGCTGAGGAGACCAGCTGCTGGGCTTCAAGGACAGTAATGCTGATTCCTCCACGATGATGTGGGATTAAAGATGCTCAACCAGGTCTCCTCTCTGGGTTAGCAGGCAGGTCAGCAGCACCACGCTGTTGCTCTAAAACCTGCCTGTACCTTTGAACTGTGTTTGCAGACTTCCAGAAGTGCTTCTGAGCCCATGCAGCGATTTGCAGGACCGAATCATGACTGTTTTACAGAATCATGCAGTTCAGCCTGATCGCGGTCGTCCAGCATTGACTTTCAGCCTTGTCCCTCACACACAGATATTTCTCCAGGTGTGCTGAATCATCGTGCACTGTAGATGATGAGATAGTTACAGGATTCATAATTGTTCCAGAAACAGACAACAGTTTTTACAGACTGATGAACCTCTGCCCATCGTCACGTCTGAGAAACTCCTTTTAGTTTCCTGCTTTTGTTCCTCCTTCCCAAGTTGCTAACATCAAAATCAGCTGTTACTTTACAGAAAAGGGTTCATTCTCTCAGATCAGACGTTTGACACGTTTGTTATTCTCATTAAAGTCTGAAAGTCATCACATTCTGTTTTTATTCACATTTCGCTTCTACAATCGAAACTATTGTATGAGCATAGTCCTTTGATTCTTGTTGCTGCTTTCTGTGAACCATCTCTGCTTGTAAATGAATCCACTTACTGTGCTATAGACCCATCATTAGCCCGCCTGCTACATCATTCAGCAGCAGCAGTATTTTGTAAACCTTATAATAAAATGTCACCTGCCTTTGTTCACCAAAGGATGAGTCAGATCGAAGGCATTTAAACGATTTTATTTTGAAATAAACCTACATCCTATCTAGTTCCACACGCCTCATCTTTGCTTACAAAGACTTGATTTTCATCACAGCGAGAGAAGGCAGGAGCTGATCCGTGAATGAACCACTGTATTGTTCAGGTGCAATGAGGCAGGGCCCTGTAAGACTGCTCCCAAAGTAATTTTGCAGCCCCGAGATTGGTTTACAGACACGCTGACACATCACAGGTCTCCATCCGTGCTGTGCATTCTGTAGAAAAGATATATATATATATATATATATATTTTTAACTTCCCGGGAAGTGAGGACACCTTCACCAAAAGGTCATCTCTGCACAGATGCTTATTAGAAAGGGCAGCTCCCTCACATGACTGCTAATGGCGCCAGTGGACGGGTCTATGACAAGGCTGTACAAGCACAAGGAGTAAGTACACGCTGCTTTTGTGACAAAAGAAGACTTGAGACGTTGTCTGGGAGGCCTTTAATTAGGCTAAACCACAGTTAGACCTCACTATCTGATTCGACGTCAGGAGTCCGAGCGAGTTCCAAGTGGAGATTTAGTGTTTAGTTGGCGAACGACCCAAAGAAACCAACACCCTTTCCCACAGTCAGACAAATATGTACCCCAAAGTCCGATGTTCTGGTCTCAAAGTCAACACACCTAGTCATGTACAGCAGGCAGGAAACACAGGGGCGTAGACAGGAAAAGGGAACCATTCTAGCAGCGCTGGAATTTCCATCTGCACTTTGCCCACTTACACTCACAGAGGACGACACACGGGGCAAGTTCAGGTTCACAGCCTCCAAACTGTCAGCACATCCATTTCATACAAATACAGAAAGATCATCAGAATAAGTTCACTGCTGTAGAAATACATAAAAATCCTGTTTGTCATTCTGTTTGTTTCTTTGCTGGTTTTCTGTGAACCTCACAGAGCTTTGATCTCCAAACTTTAAATTAGTCTTTGCAGTCGAACGCTGTAAGAAGCATCATATTCTTTTAGAGCATTGATGAATGCCAACAAGTTGAAAACACAAAGAGCTTTCAATAAAGACCTGAAATAGTTTCTGTAAATGAAATCTAAGACACGGCGGCACAGCGGCGTGGGTTCTCCCCGGGTCCTCCGCCTTCCTCCCACAAAGACACCAGTTTAGGTTCATTGGAAACTCTAAATTGCCCACAGGTTTGAATGTGAGCGTGAATGGTTGTCTGTGTGACACCCCTGTGACAGACTGGCGCCCTGTCCAGGCTGGACCCCGCCTCCCGCCCTCAGACAGCTGCGATAGGCTCCGGCCCCCGCGACCCTGACAAGGATAAGCGGAAGAGAACGGATGGATGGAAAAAGTGGAATCTTGGCAGTCACTCGAATCAGGACACGATAGGTTTGCTGTGGGGACGATCACTATCATATTTGATTCCTCTTAGACTCTGTTGAATATGACGACTCGTTCTGCAAGACACGTGGCCTTTCTGACATCGGATGCCAAAAATGTCCCTTCTTAACTGGAATAAGGAACAGCCGACAAAAATAACAGATGTTACTATATGTGAAGCAAAGTGTGTGTTTTCCACAAAAAGGTCGACTGCATAGAGCAGTCAGGTCTGATGATTAAGACTAAAATAAAGCTTAGAATAAAAAAAGGAAAGAAAGCAGATCTTTCATCTCAAACGGAGCCGAGAGTTTTTATCAGAATACATAAACCACAGCTGTTTACAGTCTATCGCCTCTGTGAGTCTCTCACTTCCCTCTGCCGACCACCCGCCGTCCTGACCCGGCTCACGCTGCCGAGGCACGGTCACCTTCATCCAAACACGATGGCATCGTCATTTTTAAGGTCATCCTGGATGTATCTGCGAGGCTGTCAAAGACAATATGTTTGCTTTTGAGCACTGAATTCGACTCTGCTCATCAGTTCACATGTTACATGTTCCTCACTTTACCATTTCTGTGTGTCGCAGATGCTTTTTCTAACATTACAGGACAGGAGGAGCTGCGAGTACAAAAGGATTAAAAACTACAAATAACTCTGTGATGTTTGAGCATCTGAGGCAAAAACAGCTGACTGCTCCATCACAAGTTCACTTAAGGCAGAGAGCTGTTCAGTTTTCATCCGCTGTCATTGTAAAGGCTCCGTGACTAACAGAAGAAATAAATGCAGTGTATTTATATGACAGTCATATCCAACATCATCGTGCTTTTCTGCTATGACACAGGAAACAGAGATGGAGGGTTTTTAAACTCTTTGTGCCAGAAATACACCGACTGCTCTGTAAGTGACACGTCAGTGTTGTCATTTTGAAACCCTAAACTTTATTTGTTTTAGTTTCTGACACTTTGATCCAGTTTGCTGAACAAAGGCAGTGATGAGCCTAATATTCCCTCCACAACTTTAAAAGGAGTAAACGAGCGTTTTACAGCAGCATTGTCACAGCCCTGTTCAAATGAGATAACACACAACCAGGTTTGTTCATCTATTAACAAATATGTGTTTGTTTAATAATCATGTGAGGATTTCCATCCTGCACTGTGCTTGCAGTGGGAAGCTGTTACTGTGCAGTGTGATGAATGATTCGTTTGGTGGACTTTGTTTCCTTTCAGACTGAGAACATTTCTGATCACGTTAAAGGAGCAGATAAGTCTTCCTATTCTTTCAGATTATGACTCTCAGATACTGTTTATCTGCAGAAGAAGAGCCCTCCATTTCTTCTGTGTCCTCTCTGCAGTTTCCTACATTTTTATGAATACACTGCACACGATGCTGAAATGCCCGACTCTCAGCTTGCACCAACAAGAATCACATCGTTGGTGCAAAAACACTGTTTTCATTCCACAGAAAGAAACAGGAGCAAATGATGTGTTTCTGCAACAGGCTGCCCAAAGCCCCATTTTTAAATCGGCTAAAATAAGCTGTATGAACATGTTATTAGTTCAATTCAATTCAATTTTATTTATATAGACAAAAGTCGCCTCAAGGCGCGTTATTATTAGAATTCATCCCGTCTCCAACAAATCCCATAAAAGTCCAGCCAACAGCCTGGAGTTCATCCTGGCTCTGTGTCTGAGGTTGTGTTCAAGGATGTTTTGACCTGACCTGCAGAACTATCACCTACTGGCTGACGTGTAGCTGCTTCCTACAGACCCACACATTCACATTTTATAAGATATTTTTGAACAGATGTGCAAGAATCGATCTTTGAGGTAAAGCATACAGCAAAATTAAATGATCAAAGTTAAACTTGGAAGTGTGGTTTATTGTTTAACACGAAACATGTGTGAAATTATTATTTGCTAACTTTTAAGACCTGCACATTGGTTGGCTGGCTTGAGCGAAGCTCTTCCTCTCCTCTACTTTGGACTTCATGGATGTCTTTAGCCCCGTGGAGCCGGCTGACCTTCAGCTGTCAGAGTCTGCATTAATGCATATCTCTGCATGTGTTATTATGCGATTAAAGAAGCTGACACATGTTCGAGGGAAAACACGAGGTGCCCTCCTGCCCTCATGGAATGAATAAGAGATGTCGGTGGGCTCAGCAACGTCAGTGAAGGAGTAAATGATTCAGGAACACGTGTCAAGAACATGGCAGGAAGTGGCCATGCTTGCTGTCTTTGGAGCAGACGTCATTACCCCACAGCCAGCTATGATGATCACTCCTCGCTTCCCACCGGGCCTCGAGACTGTAACTTCATCTCAAACTGTGTCAGTGACGTCCCCGCTGGGATGAGGGATTAATTTGATTTGCATGCTTACTAACAAGGATGAAATGCAAATTGACAATGAAACAGTGTTACTGCAGTGTGCTTGTTAAGCACCACAGTGGGTTCAGTGTCACGGGTGAAGCAAGTGTGAGTTATGAATACTAGAGTTTTCTGAATTAAACATGAGCTTATGCTTGGCCTGCAAAGACTGGATGATGGTGCTATTTTTAATCCCACGATTCCATATTTAGAGCTGATGTTTCCACTGCAGCGTGAACTGCGGCTATTTATGCACACGCCCATGTGTGTGGGTAGCATCTGCATTCATCGCTCCCACACAAGAAGCAGAGGTGTGGAAGCAGCTTTGTGAATGATTTGTGTGTGGAGAAGTGAGAAAGTGCCGACCACAGTGTGGAGGAAGGCAAATTACATGGAGTATCTACACACACAAACAGGTGCATGCAAACAAGATGGCAGAGTAAATCGCTCACACCTGCAGTACCACACCTCTTCTACTTTAAACGGGGTCAGACACCAAATGAGAGGATATCTGCTGCTTTGTGTAGTCAAATGAAACATGTTTGACGTAAGGAACACATTACACATATAGCTGATGTGCACATCCCTGGGGGCTCCAACTGGGCTGGATCAGCCATGCTGCAGTATACCTACAATACCCACAGTCCCATTTGTCAAGCTGGTCGACCCTTTAGGAACAGCAGCCGCTGGTCTGGCTCTTGACTGAATGGCTGCTCTGAATGTTTGTACAGATATCAGATGAAAATAAACGAATCCTGATGACGACCTTCTGACTTTCCCTTTAACCCTCTCAGGCTCAAATTAGACTTTTTGTTGCTAATGCACAACCAAGTCCTGCAGTGGTACTTCTGAGTAAAAAAAACTCATAAAATATGTATGTGGGGTAATCAGGTTGTTAGTTATAAACTGTTGTAAATCTGCAACGCCTGCCTGGAGAGGGTTAACACTGACAGTGGCACTAAATCACTAAACCACTGGAAAATATAGAAATTCAGTTTTCCTAACGTTTTCTCTATGATCACATTTCTGCAAAGCAAATGATTTCCATCAGACTCAGTGTTCCCAGATGCTAACAGCTAATTCATATATGTCAGAATACAAACAGGATACACTTTTCCAGTTGTTTCAGCACGATGTCATTACAGTTACCAAATACATCTACTCACACTTACAGCAAGGCTGCTATGTCTGTGGCTTTTGTGGTGTTACCGATGGCTGAATTTCCACCCATCAGGTTGGTTTTTCATATTTTGCATGAAATTTGTGAATGTCTAAAAATCAAAGTCCATATTTGAATAAAAAATAATCCTTCATTTTTACCTGTATGCTACCAAACTGACATAAGTCATTCTTATAGCCCAACATTAGTCCTGCCCAGCGTTTAGCTGCATTATAGATGCACAGCTGAGCCCAGCTTCCTGTCTTTGCTGTGGGCTCACACTTTCCTCGGCTCTTACTCAGCCAGAGAATAAAGAGCTGAGACATGTTAACCACAAAGAAACGGATGTCACTGAGCAAAGACTCAAATGGAGCCAGTACATAATTCAGAGTGGTTAGTGACCGACCAGGCGTTGCACGCAGGCCGACAGCGATGGGAAGCTGACTGCACATCGCCACACAAGCTCTGTGGATTTGAAACTGCTTTATGACGTGAATTCAGAAGTTAATGTGGATGTACAAATGTGGTGCCCAAAGCTGTTTCAGTGGGACAGTTGTTTAGAAAATAATTAGTCACATGAAATAATCCCTCAGTTGACTTGGACACAAATTTGAGGAGCATCAGTTGCTTCACTTAACCCTGTTTTTATGGCATCACCACATCCATCCAGCGTGCTGCACGTCCACTGACCTCCCTCTTTGATTTTACCGCAGGAACAGCTTCTCTGCCTGTTCACATATGGCGCTAAGAGATTTCGTTTTTTCTCAGAGACTTCAGGAAATAGACGTGAATGCTATGCCTGCACAGACACCACATTCCAAATTCCTCAAATGCTATTCAAAGGACATGAATGACATCACACGAGGAAATGTGGCAGGACAGAAAAATAAGGAGGACAGGAAATATTGCTTCGTGCTAAACTTGCTGAACTTTACTGAGACCTCAGTGAGATCTCGCTGCTTATGTCGACATAAACACGCGTCTGAGCAGTGCTTAAGTGAAGCATATTAGATAGCAGTAAGTGCAACTGATAAAGAAAAGGGGACATGACGAGTGTGACGTACTGATAAGAAGAGGACACCATCACCATGCTGTCAGTCAGTGTTGCAGTAAAACACCTGAGTGAGCCTCATTTGTAGCTGTAAGCAATCAGAGCAAACCACACAGTCCAAAAGCACAAAATCCTCCATTTCTTTGTTGTGTTGTTGCCTCTACAACTTGTCACCATGAACTGGTGACAAAAATCATTCACTACTTTAGAGCAAAACCCTTTCCTGACAATATCGCTGATCAATACGTCCGTTCTGGTTTTGATAAGGATACATTCACCTAATGAGATTCATGTGGAGAGGCTTGTTAGGCTATGAGAATGGCAAATGACCTTTGACACAGTCAATAGTGCAGGAGAGTGCTTGCCTGGCTGTCACTTTGACCCAGCTCGTTGAAGCACTTTGGCCGTGTTTTCAAAGCGCTTCAATGATTACAGAACAGCACTGAGTGCTGATTACAAATAAAGAGGAGATAAAGTCAGTGGATCTGTGGAGAGGACATTTGCAGAATACTAGGAGGAGAAAAAGGGCATCTAAATCTGTGAAACAGGCAAAATGCCACATGTTAGCATGCTGTGCAGCCTCGTAGCCTGTGGACAGCGGTGTGGAGACAAAGAGTGGGAGCCAAAACCTGCTCCCACCCAGAGGGGCCGAGCCGAGTGCGATCTGTAAACAGTGATCTGCATTCGCACTGACGCTGAAGACAAATGTCCTGAGGTCAAGTGTATTCAAATCCATATTAAATGAGACGGTTCTTAATTCTGCTCAGAGGAAGAGGATTCAGTTTACGTGGCTCCTGATAACGACGGACACGATAAAGGCGTCACCATATCGCTTCTGTAAATGCTAACAGTGAGGCTGGCTCCTTGGGAAGTTTGTCTCGGCCCAAATCCAGTGGGAGAATCATCGGATGTGGTGGTAGGCGGCAGCACAACAGAAGCCTCGTGGGACTGAGGGATTTATGGGATGTAGGCAGCAGGGTAAGAACTCTCTGCCACAGACACCAACTAAACATTAAATATGCATGAGAGCAGGCAGTCTGCACTGCTCTCTGATCATATGTAGGTAAAATTGATTAACATGCTCTGATTGGTTTGAAACAGTCAGGTGATATTCCCATTTCAGCTGAAGGTTGCTGGTGATGCTATTGGTAGATACTGGCCTATTGCAGACATTTGAATGTGGCTGTCCAACATATGTTAACACTGAATTTAGAAGATTCACTGGTTTCAATGAATCCATGTAGAAATGGAGTGATTCGATTCACTGTCATTTATACAGCGCCAAGTCACAACAGTCGCCTCAAGGTGCTGTGTATTGTGCAGTAGATCCTACAATAACACATACAGAGAAAAACCCAACAATCATATGACCCCCTATGAGCAGCACTTTGGCGACAGTGGGAAGGAAAAACTCCCTTTTAACAGGAAGAAACCTGTTAAAAAATACATATTAAATGTGACATATGACTATGGGACCAAAAATCCAGTGTGATCTATTCAATGTAACAGTTTTTATAATACGTTTGATATGCCCACATACCAAACAGCACTTTAACTACTTATTTATTGTCACATTGTCAACAATTTATGACTTAGATAAAATACACTCCCTTTGAAAACATGATTTGGTTGAACCCTGTGTCAGATTTCTGGTTAAATACTCATGTCAAATATGACATGACAAGAATGACGAGACTCGCAGGGTCTAAACATTTGAATACAGGAAAATCTAGAGTGAGTGTCAAAGGCTGCTATACACCTACAGACTCAAGCAGGACATTTACAGGACGACACGCATCAAACACGCTGAAGTGATTCAACAGGAAGATATTTTTAGGCTGTATGCAGTGCTGTTCAATTTGCTCATTAAAATGCACACTAAGGGCTCGCAGGCATCCCAGCGGTTTGCACAGTGCATTGTTTCTCAGGACCAGGCTTACAGTAAAGATCTTTGAGCTCCCCCTTGTGGTAGCAGCTGTAACTATTTTATTAGTGATAAACGTTATGAGTGATTTTGTTTTAAATTTTACATCCAAACGTTTTTTTCTTCAGGGTAATAAACTGATCACTGATCAAACCTGACCAGACTGCACCACCGCCTGGTCAGGCAGACACATCATTCTCATGTTTATGTGAGCCTGCACCCTCCAAAAGCTAACTTTGAAACGTGAAAAACTGTTTCGTAGCTTTCAAGTTTAAAGGACAAGAAAGAAAGAATCTCAATATGCTTAGAAAAGCTTGTTTACTTATTTTCATAAAATTAAACCGTGTAAAAGGTCAACAACATAAAACAAACACTTAAGGAATGGGTATTCACGCCACAAGGCCTGAGAGATGAAGGACTGGGGTCATTTCAAAATGCGATTGAATTTCAGTCCAATAGATTTGAATTTAAACAGTGTGGAGATCAAGGACAATTCTGTGTCCACCTCCAGTCTAATTCAGTTAATTCAAGAGGCTAAACTCAAATTTGGGAAGAAGTCCGGTTGTGAATCGACACCAACACTAGATGACGGCGAACAGCATAAAAAAAACTTCAGAGGAGGAAGAGAAAGCATCGTCTTCATTACGAGGTGTCCATAGCAGCTGTTTCTGAAACATAAGAACACATCTGTTCATCATGTCATGTCAAACCTGCATATTTACACAGAAAGAAAACCGAGCGCCTTCTTTTCCAGCATGACTGCAGCGCTGAGTTGGGAATAACGCCGTTTCACATCGTAGCGTTTTTCTCCTCAGATCACTTTTAGTATTCTAAACCTAAAATCACACTAATTACTCCCACAAGGGGTGAAAACCAGCGTTTAACTTGTGTGAACGCACGAGCTGCTGATACAGAGAACGAACAGCAAACTCACGTGTTTCATTAAAGAGGAAGGAATCCTGATACTCCTTCATGTACTGAGAGGATCTGGCCTCATCCAGGAACAGAGAGTAAACTCTTTTAATGTCTTCTACCTGAACCTCTGTGCCCTGCAAAAAACAAACGGCACCAACAGAGTCAACGTGACAAAACTCAAGAAACAATGGATGTGATACACGTGCAGCTGCTGAAGTCGTTCACATCGAGCTTACCTTGCGTTTACGACACACCAGCCCTGCGGTGCTGATCAGCTGGATCGCGTAGCGCAGTGACGTTTCCATGCCGATACGAGTGAGGACCGTGTGAGCCTCCTCGCTCAGCTCCACATCCTCCTCCTCACACCTGAAACGGAAACCTCAGCTTTACATTTCATCTGCGGCAGAAGATGGAAGCGTCTGCTGATTATGAACACGCGTTTTTACCGGATCTTCAGGATCTGCTTCGTCTCTTTTTCGGTGTAAGGGGAGGTGGCGATGATGAGCAGCCGATCGAGGAGATCGATGGGGATGCCGTGAGGGCTCTGATAGTTTGTTCCACGGATTCTGCAGGGAGACGAGTGAGTAGCACATTACTAATGAAACACCCAAATTATTCAGTATTACCTTTACTGAAGCGGAAGGCTGACTAAAAGCAGTACGGTTTGGGAAAACAGTACCGAGTGATGCCTCTGTTGGTGGCCATAATGAGAACTGGGGAGAGGTCACTCTCCAGGGCACGGTTCAAGAAGGAAAAGCACTCCATGTCCAGCATATGCACCTCATCAATAAATAACACCTACAACAAGAGAGAAACGTTTAACAGAAACTCATGAAAAGCAAATAGAAGCATATAAAGACACTCACCCCTGGAATGATCTCGGCCTTTCCTTCTTCCCTCCACTCACACACTTTGGCATTAATCTGCTCGCGGACTTCAGACTTGATCTCTCCGGTGTCTCCAGAGAAAAGAGCCAGGAAGCCTTGTGTGCGACTGTTAATGACATCGATCTCGTGGAGCGACACTGTGTGGACCACCTCTTTTCTCTTCTGCAGCTCTCCCTCAGGACACTGTACAAACTGTGTCTAAAAAGATGGTAAAGAAATTGATTTTAAAATACTGCATCATCCAACAGCACGATCTGAGCGCTGTGACAACAGACCTGAGCTCCCATGGCATCGTAGTCTCTGGCTCTGGTGAAAGAGCGCCCCAACTTGGTGATCTTTCCAGTGGCTTTATCGATGGTGATAACATCTCTGAGAGAAAAGCAACAGAAACGCTCAGAAGACACGAGTCCTGTGCAAGTCTGAGTGATGCTGTAAAACTTCATATAACATTCATGTCACATAACAGGTCCTGTAACAAGATCACCTACTGAACTTACCCCGCTTGCACCTTCTCTTTACTCAAACTGTCAATCATCTTGTTGCCCAAGTCGTAGATCGTCTCCATCTCCGTAGTCTTTAGCGTCAACTTGCCCACCTTTGCACCCTGATCCAAGGCACAAACTTCTCAGTAAGTTATATGAAGTATAATAATAATAATAATAATAATAATAATAATAATAATAATGGATTGCATTTATATAGCGCTTTTCAAGACCCTCAAAGCGCTGTACACTTCCATTATTCATTCACTCTCACATTCACACACTGGTGGAGGCAGCTGCAGTTGTAGCCACAGCTGTGCTGGGGCAGACTGACAGAAGCGATTACCACTGTGACCTGGGGTTGTGCGATTGGACGAATATGTCGACGACAGGCTCAGCCCATCAGCGATCGTTTTCACAAGGACGATTTATTTATTTATTTGCCCACGAGTAAATTTGCTAATAATGATGTAGCTGCAGAAGTTGGTGATAGCCTAGCATACTCAGCTGCGTACGTGCTCATGCAAGTTAGCCGTGTTTGAGTGCTTTGCTCGCACTATACGTCTGCACAAGCCGCACACCGCTTTGGTTACATCCTTAGGTTTACCTCTTTCACGTGGTTTAAAAATCCCAAATTGGCGACTTCATATTTTTTCAGTGCTGTCAGCGTTAACGTGCCGTCATCACGACTAACGCGATTAACAAGTAACCCATCAGGAGCGCAGACTGAATCGAAATCCCTAAAATGTCTCTGTCAACGCATTTCGGGCAGTTTGTCGTGTCGTGATGATTGACACGTTAACGCCACAGCCCTAATTTTGGGGGGAAATTAGTTCATCCCTGTTTGGACTTCCTCTGTGTTGTAAACGTGCAAATCAGTCTGTGGATGACTACATTGCTCCGCCCATCAAAAAGTCTGCGCAGGTGCAAATATATCGCCCATTGTCGATTACTGGACGGACGATTGTAGGCGGGAAAATGTTTACATATCACCCAACCCTGGTGTGACCAATAAAATACTTCCCAAAGAACCACATAAAAAGACTGGGTTCACTATATTACGAGTGGAAGCTGCTTACCGTTCCTGTGGCTGGTCTGTCAATCTGGATCTCGACCACCTCTCCTTCAATGATCTCCGTCTCCTCTCTGTTAAAAAACAAAAACAGTTAATAGCAGTTCTTTTCGTATAAGAAGATTTACCAAACTCTATTACAGCATTTGCTCACTCACTTGATCCTTACTCCGATGGCTTTTCTAAAAGCTTGGCTAAGTGCCTCAGTCTTGCTCATCTCCAGGGAGAAGATCTCACTACCAGCCAGTGCTGTAAAGGGTGTATCAGGGCCAAGAGACTGGGCGATGCCTGCATTGGAAAACCCCCCAAAATCAAAAACAAAGTCTCAGCTGAACCCACACTCTGCCAATCAAGCTGGGAGCAACAAAAATGTACCCTAAGCCAATCCCATCAATCCAAGAAACCAATATCTCTTCTAGCTGGGGCTAATATTATGTTCTGGAGGCTTCCAGTGGAGATCTTACCCATAGCAATTGCAGTTTTTCCTGTGCCAGGCTGGCCAGCAATCAGTATTGCCCTGCCAGCAATGTGGCCATCTTTGATCATCTCCAAGATGACTCCTGCGGCTCGACGGGAGGCCAGCTGGCCAACCATCCCCTGAGACACCTGGAATTGAACATAGACATGTAAAAGGCACATCTCCTCTACACAGACACAGAATATTTAAGTCACAAATCCATTACATGCCCCTTAAGAAAGAGAGAAAAAAGGCATTTAAAGACTTAACGCTACCTGTCTTGGTTCCAAAGCATCATCCAAACCAAGGCCACGAATGTGAGAATGTGCACCTAAACACAAGGTGAAAACAGATAAAATAATGTGAGTCACAGGAAGTAAAAAAACTCAAAAATCAGGTACCATGTGCACCTATCACAGCACTATCACACAGTAACCAATCATCATGTGTTTCCGGGTCTCAGTCATACCAATTCTCTCGATTCGTGTGATGTCACGAACCTCTGGAACCTTTGTAGTTGCCATCTGTATTAAAAGCAGAAAGATCATTCATTAATCACTATAGAGTGATCCTGCCCGGTTTCCTACCACTACTTTTACATTTAAAAACAGGCATTTCGCAGTATTAGACCTTCAGAGTATCCCACTCCATGTCAGAATGTCAAACAACAGATAAAAAAAAAAATTAGCTCCAGCAAGAGATTCAAATATTTCTACTGACGTTTTGACGACATACAACCCAGTCACTATTAAATAAATGTTAAAAAACAAAACACTTCGGTGATAAGACTACCACAACATTAAGTAGTTAGATTGTCAAACAATTAACACTTTAAAGAGCCCGTCCTGGTCAGTTGGTTGTCATAGTGACAGAGTTGAGCGCATGCCACAACAGAGTAAGAACAGTGTTAGCGTTACGTTAGCCTGGTTTCTAAGGCTTTTTATTCTTCATATTTTTACTTTTTCATATAAGCAACGGAAAGCTCGGGTATCGCCATAACACAGATTTAATAACGTGGTACACGAAATCCACAAATCTCGTTTGGCGCCAAGTAAACAGAGCAAGGATAGTGACAAGTAATGCTAACGCCAGCTAATGTTATGTTAGCAAATTAGCTAGCTCCATTCAAAGCTTTCTTCTTTGAGTAACTCCTGCTTAGCAAGACGAAGACGTGATGTTCGACAGAACATGGAAGGAAGTCCTACAGGACACATCGTGTAACACCACGGTGCGAAAGCCTGGAGTTAACACTGTTTATATTGATCGCATGAACACTCACCTGTGCAGCCACACTTGCGAAAATGTGAGAATGCGGCGCTTCTTTCTAATGGTGCGCAGATTAAAAGCGTCCGTACAGAAACAGCTTCTTTTCGTTTTTTTTCCCTGCTAGGGGATGTTTGGGTTGACTGCCCTCTATGGACTCGATGGTAAAAGGACAGCACGAGCTTGTGATTTACAGGGAGTGGCAGGAAACCTTACCGGTGTCCTGGATTATATTATGGACATTTGAATCCGTGTAGCCGTTTCAGTCCAGAGTGGTTAAACTGTGTGCTAGGCTCCCTTTAACTCCCTTTTCCACGGACGGGCTATTTTGTTGCAAGAAGAAAACGTAAAACCTTTAATATTTACTGGTGTAATGTGCTGGGTTACGGAACTGAGATGTTGTAGAGATGTCAATGTCATACTGTACGTAAGCTGGACCAGCCAAGGAAGCACTTTGCTCTGTTTTAGTTACTGTTTGTACACGCTAACAGCGGAAGCTTTCACTTCAGTCACGATAAAAACCTGCTCAAACTTAGTACTGCAGACGTTTGTCCACCAGAGGCTGCAAGAGCCCCGAGTTATATTAAAGCTTGAAGAATTTCGAAGTTGAAGCCAAAGTTTTTGCAGAGTGGTGTTGTTGATGCAGTAGGCCGGATAAACGTTTGCTTTCTGCAGGCTCCGCTTCATTCATCTTAGTGTAAAAGCCTCTTTCATTTTTTAAACCGAGAAATATTATAATCCAAACTATGGAGATGAGTTTGAGATTTTTATTGTCGTCTTTGTCTCAAGCTCAGCTTCATATTTGCAAAAAGTAATTTTAAAAGCTTACAAATCAAGACTGCAGTATTATTGAACAATGGGAAAGCCTGCCTGCTGATTATAATCTCAAGGTTTCTGGAGGGGTTTTCATATCCTCTCCACTAGACCTTTCAAGCTCCACCTCAAGGCCCAGGCTTAAGAGTCCACAAACTGAAGTCGCTTTATTTAAACATCACAGCAGAGCGACTGCTGCACGGTAAAAGGTAAATTTCGGTGCTCCTGAGTTGCCACACTAACTCAGAACAATTTTTATTTCATTTTAAACTTCGATAACAAAACCAAAATAACTAAATAAATAAAAGAATAAATGAATAATAAATGTAAAAAAACTAAACTAACTCAGAACTTTTTAATGAAGAACTTGACGATACATTAGGACTCAGTCATACTTCCACTCAGCTGAACGAGTCTTAAGCGTCACAGAAACCTCTCAGGTACACCTCGCCTGTTCCTGTAGAGTTCCTTAATGACCTCTCAGCTGCTTTTCAAAACACTGTGCTTTAAGCACACACAAACACACCATCTCCCCCCAGTCCACACTCAAAGCTGGGTCTATTTTACATTTGCTTATTAAATAATTGCACTGTGAGTGACGTTGCTAATGGCAGGAAATGTCTGCCTTTTAAAGATCTTACAGATCTGGCTCAGAGCTGATTAGCTTGAAGAGTGAGTTAGGAAGCTCGTCATCGTAGAAGAAATGAGAGGAAAAAATCCGCATCACAGCTCATGCTTGTTACCAAAAGTTTATTTGATAAAAAAAGCAAAATATCACAAATGGTCATCACATTGTACAAGGTTCATTATTTTGAATTATAGTGTAAATATGCATATACTATATTATTTCTGAATTAGTAAATGCTCATTGACTTTCTGCAACTGATTTTACACTGAACACATGTTGATTTGCTGAATATTTGCTCTTCAAGCATCGTTTCCCCCATCAGCACATATCGGATACCAAACAAAACAACGACCTAATATCAGAAAAAAAGGGGGAAACAAAAGCATATTTTCTCACAACAGCAGTACTTTGCATCATTCCACACCCACTGATCTTTGGATGTGTTACTTAATCACAGCTGGATAATGGTAATGGCTGACTCATACCAAACCCAGAAGCCTGGATAGACAGGTTCACTAAAGGAGGCATTAAAGCGGTGGATTAGAGACATGGTTTCCCCAACAGCGTAGAATGAGAGAGTACCCCCGGCGTGATCCAGGAAAACGCCGATGCGGGAGGAGTAGGGCGCGCTGACCTCTTGCTGGTCCTTGTTGTGGCGGGCTGAGTAACTGGAATCAGAGCAGAAAAGGCTCCATGACTTGCGGTTGTAGCCGATGCGGCAGCTGTCACTGTAGCCCGATCTCTTGATGCCTTTGTAGGCGATGCCGATGGAAGCCCCCTCCCCACTCCAGTCTACCTCCCAGTAGTAGGTGCCTCCAGAGAGGGGCTCCTTACACAAGACCTGTGGCAGGGAGTCGAACCTGGCAGGGCTGTCAGGGTAGGACTGGGGGTCTCTCTTGAGGGCAGCTTTTCTGTTCCCTCGTGACAAGTAAAGCTGTCTGTAGGCTGTGTTTTGGTCCAGAGTGAGCTGGCAAGCATCTAAAGATGGGTGGAACACAAGTTCATTGTTTACTCAACAATGCTGAACATAAATCAGTCTGGGATAAACGTAAATGAGGAAAGCAAATAGCCAAAGCATCTGTCCTACAGCAGCTGAAGCACCCCACTCCAAAGCAGCAGCAGAACGTCATCGACATCTCAGTTAAACTTCTACTCACTGCGGTAGAAGTTTAAATAACTTCTGCAAAACACACTTTGAAGGAAAAGCAAGAGACCCTCTGGCTGGACACGGAAATCAGAATAGTCACCTGACTGCTGTGTACCTCCACCTCTGCAGGTCACAGCTGGTGGGACACCCGACGCCCTCGGCTAGATCTGCCCGGCCTATGATCTGGAACGCCAAAGGTATCAAACACTGTTTGTGAGTTTGACCACAAACAGAATTCCAGCAAAGACCTTTTTCAGCTGTGACGTGAGTCAATGACTATGCAGTTTCTCCCAGCGCTAAAGTTGAGAGGCCCCAAAGATTTCTGTTGAAAGCTGGATTAACCTCCTGAGACCGTGTCCTCATATGGGAACATTACATTTAGACTTACACTCCATCTTACAAAATCAATATTTTACACTCTGTTAATAATGACCATAAAACTATATTGTGTTATGCTGCCAAACAAACCCACTGTCTCTATATCGAGGACATACTTTTTAATATATTTATGTATTTTAAAACCTTTCTGTTCAAAGGCGATGCTTCTTTTTTTACTTATTGGCTTCGAGAAAATTTGGAGAAATGAAAAATGCATCCCAAACAAGAGCTCGTGTTGCAGGAGGTTAAAATGCAGCTTAAGTAAAGATGACATAGCTGTGCAATATTTGCAGTGAATCAGTCCCAACCTCTGTCAACACTGTAGGACTAACAGTAGCTTCTAAGAGCAGATTTTGTGGTCAGCCACAGGGTCTGACAGAGAACCTCGTCAGCATCTAATATGCGTCATGCAGTGAACTGAGCAGAGAGAACAGTGGACAGTGTGGGTCAGAGCAGAGACTCACATCTCAGGAAGTCCTCCCTGTACTGAGGCTCCTTGACTGGCACAGACTTGTACACGGGAGCTTCGTCACCTGTGAGAGGAAACACAGAAAATGAGACAGAGTTGTGTGTCAGCAGTTTTTAATGTGCTGCACCTGAACAGCTAATACGTGTGCAGGAGGTCACGTTCTCGTTCACACTGGCACACTATCAGTGATCAGGCAAACACCTCGTAAAGCAATCTAACAGGAGAATGGAAAGAACTGAGGAAACAGGGCCAGATGATGAAACGCCTGAGCGTTATGACTCAACACCACATCTCCTGGCTTTAGTCTGACTCTGTGCTAAAGTTGTTCCGCCCTCATTCATTGTTGTGTGTATGAGCAAGTTGTGAAATGATGCTCTTGAAAGACTGACTCACTTTTTATTGATTGATATTGTTTCTTTTTGGAATCCTCCAGCTCACAGAAGGTCATTTTGTTAACTGCAAATACAGAAAAACCGTTCAGTCATCGTGCTTTCTTCGTATGTTTGAAATAACACAGTGAGATTACAGCAACATCACCCTGCAGTAGTCAGATTCCCTGCTGCATCTGTTCTGTGAACATCGAGACGTCAGTCTTCACGCTCACCTGTCTTGGCTACCTTAACCAGTTCGTCATTGCTGGATTCATTCAGTTGCTGTTTCAGCTCAGAGACGGCTTTGGTCACCGGGCCGAAGGAGAAGTACGGGTTGACGCTCACCGACGGCAGCTCCTCGGCCTCTGTTTGTGCTATCAGCATGTGGTAACTCTAACAACAATATAAAAGTAAGATAACACTGATTCTGTCAGATTATATTTTTATCTTCATGAGCATGCCTTCCTGAGCCGCTGGCGGCTGCCAGTTACCTGGATGAAGTGGATGTGGTCCTCGGTGCGAGACAGCTGGGTGATCTCGTTGTCTCTCGCCTTCAGGTCAGCGATCTCATGACTCAGACGCTCCAGATGGCTCTCTGCGTTGTTGAGTGCCGCCCGCTTGTTGGAGGATATCAGCTTTGCCATCTCTTGCTGCATCCTCTCAATGGAGCGCATCATGTCGCCAAACATCTTCTCACATTCCTGAAGCGCCCTCTGGGCTGAGTTCTGCACAGGAGACATTGGAGTGTGTCGTAAGGTGAACTGGTGTCACACTGGTTTTTACGATGACACACTTAGAAGAAGGAATGCTGTCAGTGCTGTTAGCTTCCGCTCAGCCTGTAGCGGTCAGAGTGCTCGTATCTGTCTGATGGATGATAATGACGGTGATTGCGGCACAAACCTTGAGAGAGTCCACCGCGTGTTTTAGTTCCTCCATCTGTTTCAGGCGATCGTGAATCCTCTCCTGGATCTCAGCCTGGGTGGCACCCAGCCGTTGCTATAAGACAGTTGAAACATTGATGATTATTATGACAAGAGCTTTACGCAGAAGTAACTCAAATATATTAAATCGTCTAAAAAAATTAGCTTAAATGTTTGGCTTTTAAGTTCAGGAGTCCAGGTTCACTGGACGCCAACACCTTTATCTTTGTTTGCATGAATGGGCGTCTATTGTTGCTGCTCTTTCATGCTTTGCTCCCCACCCTTTAACTGCTGTAGTGCACCGTGTTACAGCTTTAATACGGAATATTTGACCCTTATTTGTCACAGGTTTTAGCGTTATTATTGAACCAAAGGAGGACCGGTACGAGGGTGTTGCCTACCTGTTCCTCAGATCTCTCCTGCTCAGCTGACACCATGTCGTGGCCCTTGTGTTCTTTCACCGTGCACAGCACGCAGATACACATCTGGTCGGTGCGACAGAACAGCTCCAGACCCTTCTGATGCTGCGGGCAGATCTGCCTGTCCAGGTGGCCGATTTCATCCACCAGCTTGTGCCTCTTAAAGGTGGCCGACTCGTAGTGGGGCTTCAGGTGCTTCTCGCAGTAGTGCGCCAGACACATCAGGCAGGACTTGATGGCTTTGTGCTTCTTCCCAACGCAGATGTCACAACCTACATCCTGGGGTCCAGCGACGTTGTAGTCGGGGGACGGAGGTGGAGGCGGAAAGGACTCAGAGTTGCGTTGGAGCGTGGAGTTCCTTGAGCCTCCGACGCGCCTCGGAGTTGGCCTCTTGCTGTAGGAAACCCTGCACTCCGGGCAGTTGAACGAGCCAGTGTGTTCAGCATGATCCCAGTATGTCTTCAGGCAGATGGAGCAGAATGCGTGGCCACATGGGATGGACACAGGGTCCCTGAGATATTCCTTACAAAGGTAGCAGGTGTCTTGGTCAAAAGACATGGAGGCAGTTTGCTTCTTTTCCCTCTAACGCCGAGAAGATGATGTGAAGTCAGAGCCTCACTTGTGTCAGCACTGTGGCAAAGTGACTGCACAGGTAGTGCGGGTGCAACTTATATAGAGTAAACAGAGAGGGAGGATAAACAGGTTAAGCCGAAACCAGTAAAACAAGGGCGGAGAAAGAAAAGGACACAATGAGTAGATCCATGTGTTACAGAATGCTGAGAAAATGAGTGATATGTGCAAACTGAAAATATTTGATCCAAAGAGTTGTAGTTTCCATTTATTACATTTTGACACTGTAAAAAAACAAAAGGTCCAAACTTAGATAGGAAATTTTGAGCAGCAACGATGTGTAATCAAAGGATACCACGTAATATTTACAGGAACTGAAGCATTATTTGTTTTTTAACAGAAGTGAAAGAAAAGCCATAAAACAGGTGTTACACATTTCAGGGAATAAGATGTGTAATAATAAAATAAATAAAATAGCATCAAATGTAAACGAGTGAGTAAAACCTTCTGCGAGCTCCGGTCAGATTCAGTCTGTTGGATTTGCTAAAGTTGACTTCACCCGTGACCAGTTAATTATTAACCGCGTTTACTTTGCTTTGCCACTGATTTCCTCTGACAGGATGCCACAGCTCTCATATACACGAACTCAACTGTAACGTTTCCACCAATAAGAAGCTAAAGTATTTAATAATGTATCATCTTCTGCACACACACAAAATCCTTCCCTCTGTATATTTTACTTTACGGCGAACACGCCTCCCGGCCGGAGTTTCAGTGTCAGATAGGAATGCAACTACACTTGATAGCCGAGATAACAGAAGGGCCAAGAAAGCCTGCTTAAAAGATTCCTTTGTGTGAGAGCCAGCAGGGTCTAAACAGCATTACAGGGTCGGCTGTGAACAACAGTAACTGCAGCTGACATGTATGACCACACGTAGCATTTAACCAAAGCTGCTCTGGCTGTGGTTACGCTCCTCACTGGAGGTGATTCAAAACTTTGTGAACTGATATTGGAAAAAGCATCACAAATATCTTTATGTAATCTCTGGTTTGTAAAAGTTACTTATTTTATTTCAAGTTCATTGGCATTCAAAGGATTTCCATCACTGTTCTCTGCAGTTAACTTATTTAAAGTCAGTGTTAGTTTAGGGTAAAGTTAAATAGATACTTTTCACAGGATTTCTTTCATTTCATTTCTTATTTTATGCTGAATCATTTTAGGACAGTCTGTAACTTGTGCTCTGTAACACTGCTCATCTGTTTGTAATCTGATTACATGCCAGTGACATGCAACACACCCTTTTAAACTGACGACAGAACTGCTAGTGATGCAATAGAAAGCATGTCTGTCCTGATGGCAGATTTTCTGTTTTCTGATTTCGTTTCCTTAAAACAAAAAAATTCTTTGTTTGATTCTTTGGAGGAGAAAAACTGTCTGGAGCTACGAGACGATATTTCACTTTGTCATCTGTGCATAGTTTTGTTTTTTCATGCGCCCGTTATCCAGTTCCAGCAAACACAGTGATCGGAGCAAAAAGGTCAAATAAGCATCTGTCAGAGTTTATTGCTTCCATGTGACTCGACCTCTCCCTACAGGGGTGTAGAGCGCTGAGATCTTAGCTTCTTTTAAAGTTCTCTGACTTTGTGATTCAGTTTTTTCCGCGTTGCTCAAAAAGAGGGCTCTCGAGCATCATGACACAAAGTTCAGCTGTGAGGATGTCAGCATGGGAGCATAAACCATTGTGAATCTTTGGCAGGTTCACTGAAGAGGCGACAACAAGACACCACCGAGGCTTTGCTGCTGGCCACAGACCGTCGCTCTCTCCTTATCCCCCGACTCCAGCGTTACGTTCTGCTGATGTTCTTGTCGTGGCTCGCTGCTGGCTGCAGGTTTCCTTATAAACAGTTCAGCTGCATCACGACCTAAAATAGCGCCTAACAATGATCGTTAGTGTGCATGTGTAAGGATTTGATACCGTTCCCTTCTTTTTTTCAGGACTCACTTTCGAGCAAACCAAAACTTTATATCATAACAATAACAAAGGATGTGCACATCTCTACATCCTTATCATTACCACAACAAATGAAAAAACACGGGAATGCAGTTCTGAGCCGCAGAACGAGCTGTTAGACACTTTGAACGCTGTTCTACGTTTTGGATCATCCCTATCTGAGTTATGCATCCTGTCAAGCAACATTTCTTCTGAATCTTGCAACAGTCTTTTTCACTGAAATCTTGTGTATGCACTGATGACCGATGCCTGCATTTTCACTTTTTAAGCTCTCATTTCACTCGTTTCCTTTGATCAAACAGCGAGCGCTCTCCTGCGCTCACCTTGAAGAAACCATGCTCGCTGCACTTTAATAAAGGGTGACCTTTCCCCTTGAACTTGGACTATATATGACTGCGGAGTTTCGGTCTGCTTTGTTGGAGAAAGCAGCCTGATAACAAGCCTGCCACTCTTTAAAGTGGGCGTCTGCTCAAACCTTAATAAAACTGACTGTAAACACTGTTATGCTTCAGATTGGCTTCCTCGGAGCACGGGATACATTTGACCAAACTTGTGCTGTTAAGCTTTCACTCTTCTAGCAAGCACGCTCATTTAAAACTTTGATTCAAAGATTTTTCCCCTTTGGCAGTCGTGCTGTCCAAAAACAGGTGGTTAATCTGTAAGCACAATGCTCCCTTTACTCTGGAGGAAGGAAGGAAAACTGGCTTATCAGAAACCTGACCAAATACGGAGAGGTGAAACTACCTCGTGTATGAAGTAATGCAAGCTATGAATTGAAGGTGGAGCAAATGTACCTTTTAGAAGCTTAAGATTACTTTGCCATGTGATTGCAGATCAGGCAAACATACATTGCACAATTTTATTTGAAGCTAATTTCAAACAGTGTTCAAAGAGTGTTTGTATTTCTTTTTTTAACAATGTGTACTTTCAATGTAATTTCAAGCAGGAAACATGCCTGTGAGTTGGACACTGGTGTAAGTAGGAGCAGATTGGGCCTAATTGAAATGCTAATGAGAGGCCGGTGATGTCAGCAGACACTTCACGCTGTGGAGAGAGTCGGGTCACCTCAGGAGTTCTTCCCCTGCTTTGTTCTAACCAGTAATACGTGCAGGAATTATGAGGGGGACATTTTGCATTGCCACGTAACTCGAGTGAAATATGTACACAACTATGCGAGACATCTACCGCAACAACACCTGGACGCGACAGGAATGCGTCTGTTTGAGTATTTGCACCCATGCGTTTATGTTTGACACGTGAATGTTTTCTTACCACTGAAAACAGAAACCAGCCGCATATCTGCAGATACAAACGGCCACGTACGAGTGAACGGACGAGTCGGGCCAGTTACGGAACAAATATTACAACTTTTAAATGAGTGTTTCTCTGACGACAGATGTGAGCAGAGACGTTTGAGGTCATTCTCAAACCGTGTGCGTGTTTGTTTACTGGGTGGTCCCTGAAATTCCTTCAGTACCTTAGGCTGCATGTATGTTTGTCGGACTATAACCGGTTTAAGACAATGGCGATTCTGTGGGACAACAATAGGTGGAAATGCAGCTGCCAAGAAGTGTGTGCGCAGCTCACCCGCAGATGAGCCACATGAGAAATGCGAGTGAAAGAAGAGGAAGCTGCAGGGAAATGGAAACATTTTCTTGCACATTTATTGTCACGACTTTGGTGTTTTACTTTTCATTCATTCTCTCTTTCTTTCTGCTCTCTCTCTGCTCTCCTGCCTGCGCCTTCTCTGCTTTGCTCTTTTTTCCTCTCCCTCCTTGTTCAACCTGCTTATCTGAACTGGGCAGGGCCCGATGTACTCACAGGACGGGGGAGGGGCCTTGCCTGCTTTCAATCAATAACCTTTTGGAATTTAGAAATACAAGTAGGTCCTGTCTCTGGCAGGCTGTACCACACTCTCGAGGGCGGGCTTTCAGGCACACTCGACGAAATCCCTATCTCCTCCTGGCATTCTCCCTGACTGTTTCTCCAGGGCTGACTGTTTGGAGTCCACCACAATGGCTGATCACACCTCTCCAGACTACTTCAGCTGCTCTCTGTGTCAGAACCTACTGAGGGACCCTGTGGCTATCCCCTGCGGCCACAGCTTCTGTATGGACTGCATCAGTGGCTACTGGAATGAAGCCGACTACACAGGGATTTACATTTGTCCCCAGTGTAAGATCACATTCACCCAGAGGCCTGTACTGAGGCCCAACGCCACTCTGAGCATGGTGGCAGAGAAGATCAAGAAGAGCGGTCTGAACCTCAACCTCAGCACGTCCCAGGGGAGCGTCTTTGCCGGATCAAACGACGTGCCCTGTGACTTCTGCATCGGGAAGAAATTAAAGGCTGTCAAGTCCTGCCTCAACTGCCTGGCATCCTACTGCGAAAAGCACTTGAAGCCACACTATGAATCAACCACGTTCAAGAGACACAAGCTTGTGGACGAGTTAGGGAACTTGGACAGGAAGATCTGCCCACAGCACCAGAAGTCCCTGGAGCTCTTCTGTCGCACAGATCAAATGTGTATCTGTGCCATCTGCACAGTCAGCGAGCACAGGGGCCATGACATCGTGTCTGCTGAGGCAGAGAGGGGCGAGAAGCAGGTAAGAATAACTCTCAGTGTCTGTTGATGCCTCCTTTTAACAGACAGAGACCAAGTGAGAGAGAGACTGCAAGCTGAATGTTTTCTTTGATAGGTTAGGAGCACATCCTCTCTGGAATAACTTGAGCTAAAGCAAACAGGCTGTTTTTCTCAATTCCTTCCCCTGAACTGCGACTGGTGATTGTACTTTGACCCATTTCACCAAGGCTATCAGCAACCCTGGCGAGCGTTCACAGCCGCCAAAACAAATCCAGCCCTGTGATTAGCTGGACACTGGCTGGAGGCGTGTCTTACAGGCGCCGTGAAAGCGGCTTTCCAGAAAATGCGGTGATCCAGCTGTGGGATAAACACACAGAAAGTGCAGCCTTCTTTCTGCTGCGCTGGTTCCCACCTGTGGGAGTGAGTGTGCAGCGGTGCAGGAATGTCAGGGAGTGCAGGCACTCTACACCTACATTCAATCTCTGTGAGCAATGTGCATTCAAATGACTCACTTCGCCTGTAACACACTGTGGGATAGACATGAATGTCAATAGATACTGTAATGTAGCAGCTGTGTGAGTAATCAGGGAGTGTTTTTACAGCTAATGCAGGCTAAAGGAGTTCTGTGCCGCCATGAAGGCATATTTTATCCCACTGTTGGCTTTACATGGCAGGGAGTCTGGTTTCTCTCATCTAAAGATTTACAACCTGAGTCCAACACATCTCACTCCATCTCCCGCTCCGTCTCCCCTCCCCCTCTCCTGTTGATTCCCCCTCCCTGGATTCCCCACATTCCTCAAGCTTATCTTGAAGAATGGGTTGGTGGGCTCGAGTAAAAGCTGAATTAGAAGCCTTCTATTCTGCATGTCAGCGCTGTGTGCACCTTGAAACGTCTCTTTAAAAGTCAGACGCTGGTAGATTCACATTCCTGACATGGCCAGAATTCCTCCAAAGATTTTTCCCCTCTCCCTCTGAGATAAAAGCGGGATGTATTAAGAAGATCTTTGAGAGGGGCTTATTAAGGACGCCACAGGGCCACACCAGATACTCCGTGATGAGAAAGAATGTTTGCAGGCTTTACATTTGGCATAACTTTTTTAAAAACAACATTCAGCTGCATTTTACGTGATAGTAATCTTAAAGCCAGTTTAGCTACCAGAATGAGCACAAATGGTTGGGAAATTATTAAAACGTGTATCTCTGTAATACTCCTTAATTCTGCAGAAACTTTTGGGAGTCTCCCAAGCTGAGATTAAACAAAAATGCCAGGAGAGGGTGAAGGAGCTGGAGGAGCTCAAGACTGCGGTGGATTCCCTCAAGGTAAGGCCTGAACAACCGGATCAGTTTCTACACAAAGCAAGATCAGTCTCCCAAGATTGTTTAGATCAGGCTGATGAAGATCAGGCTGTAGAGCGATGACATCCTGCTTGCTTTGCCCAGAACTCCGCCCACAGAGCCATGGTGGAGAGCCAGAAGATGTTTGAGGATATGATACGCTCCATTGAGAGGATGAGGTCAGAGGTGAGCAAGCTGATTGGAATCAATGAGAAAGCTGCTTTCAGCCAATCCGAGGCTTTGATCGAGCGTCTGGAACAAGAGATTGATGAGCTGAAGAAAAAAGAGTCTGGCCTCAAGCAGCTGTACAGCACTGAGGACCACATCCACTTCCTGCAGGTACCACGCAGCCTTAAAGAAACTGTGTCGACAGCTGTCATATCAGGTTAATAGGATACTTATTAATAAGTGATTAACGATGACACCGTGAAGAAATATTGAGCCCTTTTTAAAAAATTGGGCAGATCAATACATTTCCATAATATAACACTCACAGTACTGAGAACCCAGGCACCCACGTGTCACCGTCCATGTGACACTACCTCAAATTTCTCATTGGCTCTCATGTTTGCACTAGAACTTCAACTACCTCTGCACCCCCACTGATGACGGCTTCATACCCAGAGTGACCGTGAACCCCGACTTCTCCTTCGCGGCTGTCAGGAAAGCTGTGGCTGAGATTAAGGAGCGCCTCGAGGAGTTTGGCAGAGAGGAGCTGCTCAGGATTTCCAAGTCAGGTGTGAGCAGCACAAACGTAATGTTGAACACAAAGAGTAAAACTTCCAGGTTTCTAATCATGTATATCTTCTACTTTACAGTGAATGAGGTCCCGGTTTACACTACAGAGAGTCGAACGTTGGACAGAAGGAGCAGAGGTGAGGCTCCTATAGCAGTTTATAACTGCAAGAGGTTAATTATTATCCAAAACCACACCAGCCAAAGAATTACAGGCATTTGTGTGGGCGCATGAAGTTCACCGTGACCTAACAAAGAGATATTTCACGTGCAGGCAAAGAAATGACAGTGGACAACACTCCCCCAGAGCCAAAGACCAGAGCTGATTTTCTGAAATGTGAGTTGTTCTGGAACATAACTTGTACTCAAGTATTCATTTTTCTACTTTTGTCAGTTTGACAGTTTGTATTTTACTGCAGCGTGCTGCTTTACTTGTGCTCATGACATCTCAGGAAAATGCGTTTCACTCATTGACTTTTTTATGGCACAGAAGTCTCTTGCTGGAGGTTAATATCCTCAATCATTTCTCTCGTATTAGTTATGGTATAAGGCAGCACTTCAAAGCAACAAAGAACATTTGACTTCTATGAAAAGGTCAAATGCAGCAGTGCAGCGCTGTGTATCAGCGTGCAGGTTATGAAACAATAAATCTGTAACTGACAAACACTTTGTAAAAACGGCATTTTTACTGGATTTAAGTCTGTTTCAGGAATTCTATGACTGGTATTTTTTAAATTCATGTACAGCATAGATATTTCAGAGGTGCACCTCACATCCATTTGAGGATCACTGCTCTGTTCTGCAGTAAAACAGCTACATTAGGCTCAACTTTTAAAAACTCGACATCGAATCCAATTCAAAACCGTGTGAACAATGTTGTCTTTCCTTCTTCAGACTTCTGTCAACTGAAATTAGATCATAACACGGCCTACAAGGAGCTTTGCATCTCTGAGAACAGCAGGAAAGTTATCCGCACCAGGGAGCTGCAGTCCTACGGAGACAACTCAGAGAGGTTTGATAGCTTTGCCCAGGTGCTGTGCCGAGAAGCTCTATCTGGAGGCCGCTACTACTGGGAGATCGAGTGGAGCGGGGAGTTCTCCATCGGAGTGGCTTATAAGAGCATCAGTCGAAAGGGCAAAGGTTCGCTCTGTCTGCTGGGCTATAACGACAAGTCCTGGAGTCTGCTTTGCCATGACTCCGGTTACTCAGCGTGGCACAACCGCGTGGACAAGCCTGCCAATGGTCCTCACTCCCCGCGGATAGGCGTGTACCTGGATCACACTGCAGGGGTGTTGGCATTTTACAGCATAGGCAACACCATGACCCTCCTGCACAGGTTTGAGACTAAATTTGTCGAGCCCCTCTATCCGGGCTTTGGAGTCGGAACGTCAGTCAGGATCTGCAACGTCAAGTGAACGCTGGCATTTGAGCTGTTTTAAAAAGATTTCTGCGAATATACACCAGTGCTTTTGGAATATCTATTTTTGCACCCATTATAAAATGTCTCACAGCTTATTTTTTAAGGTTTATGATGCTTCTTCCAAATGTCTATACACTTTTTTTGAACACCACATGTATTAAGCTTTGAATGTAGCTGTCAAATCATATTCTCACGGCAGTTTAACAAATATATATATATGAATTATTGAAATACACAATTCCTGCATAGTCACACAAGAAAAGTGTCATCCTGTTTGGCGTCTGATGATATCTGCTGGATAATATGATAACATACTTTTAAACATTTTAGCTGATAATTTGCATCTATAGATTTACACAAAGTTAACAATGTCAGTTTTGTGATGTCATTAGGTTGTTCACTGTTGTTATTGAATAATTCTTTTAAAATTGCACTCCTACGACAGGTATGAGTACTATGAAGGTGCATTGTTATAATTTCACTACTGTTCCAAGAATGCTGTCATTTCATTTGGTCGTGTTGTGATATTATCTAAAGGTCGTCACATGAGTTTTTCCACTTGAACTAACCCTTATTTAATTTTGTGTATGTTTACTTAGATAATGGACAGCCAGAGTATAATTGCTATCAAAGAGAGAATTGTTTTGTAACAACATTGATGCATTTAAATAAAGAACTCAAATGAACAGAGCTTTGTCTTGTGAGCCGTGTGCAGAACTGGACCAAAGAAGACAGGATCACCAAATGTAAATACATTACTGGATTAGAAATGGTGTGTGTGTCTTATGTTGAATACTAGCAGTGTGTTCCACATCATCCTTTGAAATCTCAAACTACACAGAGGGAGCTGTGCAGTATTGACACACAGCTCCCTCTGCTGGTTGAATGTAAGAACTAAACCGTAAGAGAAAAAAAAAAGGCCTCAGCCTATCAGTGACACTATTCTGCTCAGAAGTGATGTTAAAAATCCACCATATCATCAGAAAATACAATACAGCCCAGTTTAAACGCAGTCCTTTAAAGTGCAGCAGCACAGCTCGTCTCCCATTTGGAACATGATCCAGTCCACTTGGATACTGAACCGTGACCTGCCCCTGATGCATCCATCAGAGCGAGTGTCTGCATGAATGTTTGGCAGTGGAAAGCGCATCTACTGTTCACATTTAGCAGATAAGTGCTGCAAAATTAAAGTACTTAACTGACATGATTTCATGTTGGTAGTTTTTGCACAATCCTACTGACAGCAACAGTAACGATGATTACACACGTTCAACTCAGCTTTGAGCAGAGGAATAACATTTTGTAGTAAACCTGCAGATTAATTCAATAATAAGGTTAAATTAATGAGTCAAAAACAGATTTTTTAACACAACAGCTTTACTGGTTCCCATATTTCATAGAGTAGGTTGAGCATACAATGCTCAAAAGAAAAAAAAAATGCTTTAAAGTCCAAAATTTAGACATTGTAGCCCACGATGCCTCCTTTGCCAATGCACTCTCCAATGTAGAACCACATCAGCACCTCTGTGGCCACCAGCCCGTTCCTTAAAGCATCCTGCGAGGAAGCAAGGACACAGGTTTGATTTGCATTAGAAGTAACATCAAAAGTACAGGATTAGAATTCACACACAACCTGAAATTCAAAAACATTTTATTTGCTGCTCTGGATAATTACAGGTTTAAGATGTACTTCACAGATTAATTCATAATTTGATCCATTTCTGTCAGTAATTACTAATATGATGAAGGACCTCGCTAATGAAATACTGAATTAACATTTCCTGTACGACACAGTGATCAATAATATAGCATCACATCCCAGGTGCTTTTTCTTATCATTTTAAATACAGATGAAGATGTTTCTAAACACACCACTTCTCTTTAGAAAACATTATTACTATTTGCACACAATAGCAGACTTATTACCATCCTCCTCCTGAAAAAGGGAACTTTTCATTTAGCCATAGCACAAACTACTGCTGTGCAATGAATGAACTCTGTAACGCTCAGCTTTAAAATCAACACATGCCAAGTTCTCACAGCATTACAGAGGAACTGAGAAGTATTATCAACAAGTTCAAAAGCCTGTCACAGGTAGGAGGCAAAAGATTTCCAGGACTCTGGAAGGAAAATTAGTAAGAAGAGTCTCAAGACCACAGAACGACTGCCAGGACATAAATTAATGATGTAGCCAAGTCTGGAATTGTAGTGCAATCACTGAAAGCCTGCACGGGAGCGCACTTTGAGGCTGCACACCAAAACGCCACTTCTGCAGAAAAGACACTTCAAGCCAGACTGAAGAATACTAAAGACAACCTGGAGAAGATTATGCATACTGTACCATGTCTTTTGGTCAGATGAAACGATACTATGGTTACAGACAAGCTGCTGATGTTTGGGGAAAGACAGCAGAGGTGTACAACCCACAGTGAAGCATGCTGTGGGGATGGAAATCTTATCATTGTGGAGGGAATCATGAAGAAAGACGGATATGTTAAGATTTTGAAAGAAAAGGAGTCAGCAGCAAAACTTTACGTCTCTGCTGCTGCTTCCAACAGGACTACGACCCAAAACACATGTTGCTCCTGGTGAAGGATTTTCCCCTGAAGACCAAAGTGAACATTACTGACTGGCCTAACGTGAATGCTACTGAAAATCTGGGGACTGAACTGAAATCCATTACATCTGGAGAAGCTTGAGAGATTTGCCAAAGAAGAACTGGCTGGATTTGCTCAGGAGACGTGTGAGAGATAAAACACAACAACAATCCACTAAAGGCTGTGTTAAAAACTTTCAAGTTTGTCCTCATCCATGTTCACACGCACACTAAATTCAGTGCATTACTGTGTGTACAACCACAGCTTTTGTAATAATCCTAAATATTTTCTTAAGACAACAACAATTTGCCCACACAGTCTCAAAGAGGTTTTCTTTACTATCAGAAGCTAGAAATGTGTCCTTATTTCATGATGTCCTACAGCTACTGCTTTGTTAATGAATCCAGGAGATGACAGACGATGTAAAGTCAGCACAAGAGGCTTTGGTTGGAATTAATAATGTGACATCTGCTGTGGTTAAGATGCACGACCACGGCCGCAGGTTTAATTAAAAAAAGACGTGGACGTGTTTTTTGTTGTTGTTTTTACATAACAACAATGACCTGTGTCTTAGATTAATACGAGTACCTTCACTGTGGTTTGACCGAGACGTCCCGTCTGGAACCCCTTGATGATGTTTGTGGCCCCCTCGATGGCTTTAGGGATTTCAGCGGGGGCAGGTGGGACAAGCTCAACACGCGCATAGTACCAAAAGTTTGCCAGGCGAGGTTTGGAGTAGGTGACAGCGGCTGAAAGAGAGAGAGAGAGAGAGAGAGAACATTAAATGCTGCTATCGATTCGCCATCCTAGCTGCAGAGCTTCTGAGATGTTAGCAGGTAGCGTTAGCCATCAGCTACACGGATTGTGTTTGCTGAGAGCAAACCAAATAAACCGATGTACCTGCTTATCCACAACACATGTCAAAACAACAAAAACACAGCATATCAACGTCAAAGGCCTTCTACGTCTGAAAGCGTCAGTTAACGTTACACCTGCTTCATTCAACTGACGTCCGGGTCGCAGTGTCGCTGACAGCGTCGGCCTACTGAAGTCTTCTCACCGAGGAGAAAACTGCCTACCTCAGCCTCCACTAATGGACCCGTCCAAATAACAGACTAGCTTACCGTTAACCAGGGTGGGTACTTTAGCAACCAACTTCTGCACTGCCTGTGCCATTTTGAGGCGTTTGTGATGTTAACTATTCCCCGTCTCTGCTAGCCGACTAAATGTCACCTCCAATAGAAGGACCCTCGACTGCAGTTGACCACACAACTGCCTGAAGAGAAACTGCAGGAGTCTTCTTCTTTATATTGTTTATTGGCGGTTGGCAAACAGCAAAATGCTGCATTACCGCCACCAACTGGTGAGGAGTGTGGACTGAAATGAAAAAAGAAAAATCAAATCCTCCCGAACAAATGAGTCTGACTTAAAAACCAAAATATGACCTTATAACTTTCACTTCTCGAATTCTTACGAAATAAATCAACCAGTTTGACTTTCACGCTTTTTGATCAGCTGTCTTCTTTCAGGATCATATTTCTGACAATGCATTAAAACATGTTCTATTGTTTCCTGTTCTCTACTGCAGTCACACTCCCTGTACGGAATTTCTCTATTAAAAGCAACGTGTTATTCAGACCAATGTGTCCAAATCTAAGTTGAGATATAACCTTCGCCTCTCTCCTGTTCCTTCCTGTGCTTCTCATTTCTCCTGTTTTCCTCTGGATTTTGTAAAACCTTCACCAGTATATACTGATAAACCAGTGTATACTGGTATAACAGTGTATACTGATAAACCATCACTGGTCCTTTTCCTTACTTTGATATTAAATTCAGGAACAGTAAATGCTATCCCGCTTTGGTTGGCTGTATTCTTTGATGCATCTGTGTAGATTTTGACATAACTGTAATACTGATTAATATATGTCTGGCTACGGTCTTCCTTCTTCTTGCCAGCTTTTATTCGCAGTTGGCAAATAATGAAATGTTGCATTACCTCCACCAGCTGGCATGGAGTGTTGCATGCCCCGGTCCAGGTCTGCCAGGAGATCCTCCAGGACATCCAACCATCGTCTTTTTAGGAGCCCTGGCACTGTCAGCCATGCATACAAACAGGTGGGGCCATATAAAGTACTGAGTAGGCCTACTGCTGACAATGTACATCTCACAACCATGAACTGCTGCAGCACTGCAGGGGAGGCAGACAGCAGACAGACAGAGAATGCATTAACCCACCTAGTAACACACACACATGCAATGAGAGCAGCTAACACTCATAAACATGGCCATACCGCTCATCACTTTTAAAAATGGAAAAACTTTACAAAAACACTTGCTACCAAATGCTGAGTTCATCCACTGCTGACATAGACCTGCCACATTAGGACAACAGGTTGACTTTTTAGTAGAGTAGACTGTGTTAAACCCACAGCAGCAGATGGTTAACCACATGATTTTATAGCAGCCTGTTCACCCAGACCTGACCTACAGGACGCACCGCTCGCCAACTCTAACCTGAAGGTCTTTGTGGACAATTCAACATCACGCAACCTGGACACCAGTTAAAATGAAGTAGGCCATGTAGCGATCACAGAACACAGGCAAGCACATGGGGTGATACATGATTTTAGACACATTATGGAAACAATAGTTTAGGATGTTTTCTACAGAATATCTTTTAATTTTTCTTTTGGGAATGAACTAAAACCCAACACCACCTTGGTCACACACTGGCTGAGTTGCAGTGCGTGACCAGGAGTTGCCAGGCTGTTGTGGCTGCATATGGTCCTTCCACGTGTTACTGAGGCCCCTATTTGTTAAAAGAATAAACCGTTTAATTGCAGATATTCTTCAGAATTCAGTAAATGACACCCAACAAGTGTCAGTAGCAGAATAAGCTGTCCGGCATTGGCAGAGAACATTCGAGAGTTTTTCATGGCCACAGCCCACATACTCAACTCTGCTGCTCAACCCACATTTTCCTTACAAACGTGACACCATTGAAGGGGAAATAAACGGGCTTTCCAGCAGTAAGACCTTTATAGCCAAGAAGCATAGTTACAACAAAGAAAAGACTAAACAAACACAAATTGCCTCGATTTTTGTGCTCACTGGGACCAGTGAAACATTCATTTTTGTCTGAAGCAGACGTGGACAAGTTTCCCCTCAGAGAAACTACGACTCCAGCAGCACAACACCAGGTCACACTAAATGCAAATAAGAAAAAATACCAAGCAGGTAAAATAGTTCAGAACCAAATATCAGCAGCTCACCAGCTTAATCTGTCAGGCTGCACCGTGTGTTTATGGCTGTGGTGACAGAGGTATTTTTAACCTTATGTTGATGCCATTCTCATGATGAGCGACGGTGTCCCTGTGTTGGTGTTGTTCCTGCATCAGCATAATAATAATAGTAATAATAATAATAATAATAATAATAATAGCAGGGCAATTACTCTTTTCCCCACAGGTAAGTTTGGATAGGTTCTTTCCATTCACACAGATACTTTCACAGCACTGCAGCTGGAGTGAAATTGGAGTCAGTAACGGGAAATTCCTCAAAAAATATTATTTGTATTTAATTATTATTCTTTTATTTGCTAACTCTACTGCTGTTAACTCACATTTATTATCATTTATTATCATCCTCTATCCGAACGATCCTGAGGAAGTATTGCTGTAAAAAAAGAAAACCCCCAAAACAAACTTGATAGATCCTGAGGAAGTCAGTATTGCAAAAGGCGGAAAACGGTCCGTGTCTGGACTCTGCTGATTTTACAAACTGCAACAATGGTTTTGTGTTCTCAGATGCATGTCTCCTGTTTTGTAGACGTTCTGTGATTGCATGATCGGCACAGACGTCAGCATCAGATAAATTATTGGGAAGCAGCGGTCATGTGAACGGCTTATTCTGTTTGTTTCCCGGCAACATGAAACCGATGAGCTGAAAACCTGTTATATCACCTGCAGCTTCTCTTACAAATGTAACTGGACTGCCAGTGCTGCGAACATGTCAGCGGCCAGGGCAGAGAGCCATGCCCACTCCCTTGTCCGGTGCATTCTGGGAGTTGTAGTCATCCTCACCTAGCCAAAACCCCAACAATGCTAAGAAGCTTTTATGTGGTTGAATTTGTCCATTTCATAAGTCTGGTGGTGCAAACACACAACACCAATTCTTTTTTTCCTTTTTTTAAACGGACCCTAATCAACAGCTTTTCAATGGACACAGTTGTACAGATTTCTTAGCTTAAGCCTTAAACCCTACAGCAAGCTATCGATATTAGGTACTTGTATTTAACATAGAAAAAAGTCTGTTTTAACCAACGTGTTCGGACCAAGTTTGGTCCACGTTATGCTCAACGTGTGCAGTCCATGCCTTCTGACGAGCTCTGGGGAACCGATACATAATATCGGATCGGCCCATCTCTAGCACATAGTTTGAAAAAAATACAAATAAAGTTGAAATATTTACGATTTTTATTTACAGAACTTTAACAAAAGAAATTTAGGCAAGTTTTTCAAGTAAACCAAACAGCCTCCTCTGCTCTTTCCTCCATTTCCCTTCACATTCTCATATCCAATCTTTCTTGGTTGCAGCTGGTCCTCATCCCCCTGGACGAGTGGTAGAAGACCTCCGTCCTAACACCTCATCCATGAGGGAAACCAGGGCCATGTAGCAGCAGTGGGCTTCCCACTCACTCCCACGCCTGACGCTGGATACTAGCAATCATAAAGGCAGAGGAAAGGTGGCAGCTGACAAACGCAGCAACAGTGCAGGTTTATATTTCTTCTTCTTCTTCCTCCTAGCGTTTTTCCCGCTCGGTTGCAGGGTCCGCTTTTCTGCAAAGTCGTCTCCACTTGGGTCGGTCAGATCGGCTTCGATCTTCTTCACGTCGTCCTTGATTCGGTCCATCCATCTCCGCTTTGGTCTGCCTCTAGGTCGACGTCCTTGGGGGCTGAGCCGCAGTGCTGTTCTCACCACTGAGTTCTCATCGCTCCGTACCACCGCAGCCTCGCTTCTTCCATCTTATCAGTGATTGGCGCGATTCCCATCTAACTTTCTAGGTTTATATGAATACGTTCAATAACGTCTGGTTAAAAATTCATATTTCAATACTGCTGTCCATACTTTGGTTTTCTTTTTTTTATTTTTTATTTTTATTTGTTTAGGAACATTTTTATGCAACAAGATAAAAGAAAAAAAAAAAGAAAAAGAAAAAACAAGCAGTATGAGGTCATGGGACAACAGGCAGCTTAGAATACAGTTGAATAAACATTAAAAACAACAGATGATGAAATCATTTCTGGATAGTATGATGTCATATTTTGACCAACACAGTGCATCTGTTTACATTTCAAAACCCATCATTCTAAATATTTTGTTAATGTGACATTGCTGTTACATGTTGGTACGAACATATGGCTTCTTCATTCCGCAGTCTTCGTGAATGATGCGGTGTGCAGCTGTGTGCAGCTGTGGACCATACGCACACTGGTTCAGCTTCACATGTGAGACCTTTATGTGGTCACAAAGTGGTGAATGGCTGCCTCCCTCCACAGGGAGACTGTCATGGTTCAACCATCCTGGAATCACAAACCTGACAGAATGAAAGATTTATTCATTAACTAACACACAAAGCCCACAGACACACAAAGCCCACAGACACACAAAGCCCACAGACACACAAAGCCCACAGGCTAATACAATCTGCTCACCTACCGCCAAATGTACCAGATGACTTTCAGCTGTCAGTATCACACTTCAGGTGCAGCATTACCTGCTTCAGCTGGAGAGTTTTTAATAGGAATGTGTTGTTTCCCTGACAACCTTCCTCACTGCCAAACACGGAAAAGTCCATTAAAATTAACGTCAGTTATAGTGAGTGTATAGATCCGTGACAGGTGTTTGTTTCTTGACGAATCTACAAACACCTTGGACACACAACACGTTTGAGTATTTTCCTTTAAACCCATGCTTAAGCGACAGCTTTCACTACATTATATGTCGACTACTTCCATTGTTCCTCCTTTTGTTTTCATTGTATACAACACTCACTAAAGCCGTTTGTCTGTGCATTTAAAACGATATAATCTAATCCTTCCATCATTGTTAGCGAGCACATAAAGACTGTTGAGTGTAATCTAGCCCATACAATACAAATGTATGTAGGCATGATGGAAATGGACTGTATGAATACCAGAAACACAAATGATAAAATAACAGTGGTTGTTCATGTTCCCACAATTTAGTGTTTGATTGACAACAATTTTGACTGGTAAATGCATAAAAACAATAACGGTTTCTTTGAAAAGCTAAAGCAATAGCAGTTCTGATGGGACCACCGATACTGACCTCCACGACCTCCCCTTCTGTTGTCATAAGCCCCCCTTGGTTGAGCTCATCTTTGGCGTCGTTACAGGCCAGGAGGATGCAGAAGATCCTCCGCTTTCGCAGTAAGACCTTCTGCCAGTGGAAGGGCAGGTGCCCTGAAAAACTGAGTCCATGCAGTGATGATTATGACCTAAGGGGGAGCTGTGCCTCTCAGTTCATGCCCCCTTATTATATATGAGGCCCCCCCTCGTGGACTTTGGAGAACTCCTCAAACACGGTTCACTACAATCTCCCCATCGGTGATGGCTGCCACCTTATTACACTTTGTAATGTGTGGTTTAGCCACTCCCTCTTTCAAGTCCCAGGTGATCACCCCGACCTGGTCGCATAGTTTTAAAACCCGGATATGCAACAGTGGTGGAAATAAGGCATCTCAGGCATCTCTTCATCAAACACATTAACAGGTCAATACATTTCTGCTGGATCCAGTTCTGATATAATACAGTAACACCTGCTGCTGTCATGGAGTCTCTTTGCATTGTGAGATGACACAAACATCGTTAACCTCTTAAACACCAAGTTTGTTTCTGAGGTTCCTGCTTGAAATTTACACGCCCGAAATCATTACAATATTTCTCTGAAAGTACAAACTCTCTCTACAAAATTAACTTGACCCTTATGAGCCTTCATCAAATACATACAAATATTACAGCTCATGCAAGTCTGTCCAACTCACTCTGATAGAACCCAGTCACTGTTTTTGTAGCAAATAATCCCTTTTGAAAATAAGTTACAGTACACAATACACTAGAAATCAGGGAAGATGTTCATAGGAAGATTATGTGAGACACGATTCATGCAGCTGAAGTGAAACAGCAACGTTACAGATATTTTCCTGAGGAGTAGCCGAGGATTGTGCAGCCTGTGAGTCCTTATTTGTGAACAGCAGAAATGATTGTACTTCATTTAAATGCCTAAAGAAGTTGAGAAGAAGAAGAAGAGATGAAGTTATTCAGAAAATGGTTTCTATCAGTTTTTGGCAGATCTTGTTTATGGCCCTATATTTTCCATAACATTAACAAAGAGCAGTAAGAACTCAAAGTTCAATACTTACTGTAGCTGTGTCGTGAGGTGGCATGAGTCGATGACAAGTCCGGATATTATTCCGGGATCACCAGGACATATGGTACGAATCTTCCTTGACGGCATTGAGAGAGAAAAGGGATCAGGCTTTTCCAAACCATCCCACCCCAGCCGAACCACCGGAGCGGTGCATCCAGACCGAGGTTGGTCCCAATGGGGTCCTTCGCTCGTGCTTCCCCACGGCGGATGTAGCCGTCCCCAGTGATGTAGATCTTGGGTCCTGTTGATTATGAAATTTAGTATAAAATGGGGTGATGATTTTTTGAAATGTGTTTTTGGTAATGTAATATTCACTATTTTTGTAATGAACAAAGATGGAGTGTCACTTTATTATAGATTAAGTTTTAATGTAAACATTTAAACACACTCAGGTCTCTAAGTTGAAATAAGTTTCCACATCACTTCCTCCTCGCTGTCATTTTGGTCACCCACTGCTGTGCTTGGCCCTGGAGTGTCCTCAGGGAGAGAGGACACTAGGACAGGAGGCCTAATGGAAGGCATCTGTCCTCTCACCTCATCCGTGAGAGCAAACCAGGGCCAAGCATAGCAGTGGGCTTCCCACTGACCCCTCTCCTGAGCCTGGATACTTCCTAAAGGCAGAGGAAATCAAAAATGACAGACAAATAAAAACACCACAACAGCTCTTAGTATTTGTACATTTCTTAACTTGTGTTTGTAAGAATCATCTTCTTGATAAAAAAATACAAAGTACGTATGTGTGTTAAGTTGTCCCATAGGGACACGCAGGCCAGCGGAAAAAGCAGAGGTGGGGGACTCATTGTCTACGTTAACAACAGATA